TGGGGCCTGCAAATACGGAACCATGGAGGGCTTGGCTGTTGAAAAGATTAGCGTTAAAAAGAAGCCAAGTGCTTTATAACAGGAAAACAGAAAAAACTGGCTTGAAGATCTCACAGGAACCAGCAGGAGCCCACCCTTCACAGGTGCAGAGGTGAAAGTGCCTTTGCTTTAAGGAGAGAGACCACGAGCACCCTGCTCTAGAAGGGCCAACCAGAGAGTTTGTTCCCAGGGTTTAGTTCACAGCGGTCAGCCACCCAGGCACTGAGAGGGCTATGCAGCCCCAGTTCAAGGGGGCCTAGCTGCTGCTCCAGCTGGCAGCAGATCATGGCATCATCCACATGGTACAGTGGACCCTTAATTTACAAACTCCATTTGTTAGCAAGGGCTGGTTGTAACTAGTTGATTGTAAGTCAAGACTTTCTCCCATAAGAAATAGTGGGAACACCCATAATACATTCCAGACCTCCTAAAGCACCCCTTAACTACCCTTTTCATAATAAAAAAAAATTGTATAATGTACATAATTTACCAGAAACACCAATAATTTCCCTAGTGTATTCACCAAAAAGTTATAAAATGTGCGTGGTTACCAGCAACAACAATTTCATACTGTCCTCACCATCCAAGTTGACATCTTTGGCTTATAGGAAGGGAGGGTGAGGTGGGAGATGGTGGTTGTTTAGAAGACACGTCCCCTTCCATGTGGCCAGGAATCTGGCTCTCTGGCATCCTTTCCTCGGGAGAGTCTGTAGCCCACCAGAACCTGCTTCTGGCTCACAGGGTCTCAACATCTTCAGAACTAAAAATTGGTCTAAAGTTGTCGGCTTCTGTCCTGTTGGTTTTTTGTTTGTTTGTTTTTTGTCTTTTTGAGACAGTTTTGCTATGCAGTTCAGCCTGGCCTTGAGCTCACTTTGTAGCCCAGGCTGGTTTCAAACTGACAACGATCCTCCTGCCTCAGCCTCCTGACTGCCAGGATTACAGGCACCACCGTACCTGGCATCTGACCCATTTTTAACACCGTTGTTTTCAACTGTCATTGCTTTCTTCACCTTCCCTTCTTCCTTATTTAGCTTCTTCTCTAGCTTTTTGGGGGCCATTTTGATAGCAGCAAACATAGTGATTATAGAGAGCACTGACAGAAATCATGTCCACAAACACGTGTACGGGCTTGGGCAGATGCTTTTCTAGCATTGTGAGTCTTTCTTTACAAGCACACAAGGGCCCAGCATTTGGGTCATAACTATCGCTTCTCGGCCTTTTGGCTAAGATCAAACGTGCTATATGAGGCCGGTTGTACCTGGAGAGTCCACTGCACTGGTTTTACAGCCATGAAGGGTGCAAGGGTTGTGGCGTCAGGGCGGCCTGCACAGAAGATGACCTAGGAGGCCAGGCCGTGTACCCAAGGACAGGGCGTGAAACTGAGGTGTGGCAGAAAGTGCTGTGGAGACTCCAGGAAGTTGGAGATGCTAGGAATGTGGACCGGCTGGGGAGAGCCCCCAGAAGTGAGCCAAGCCAGGCGAGAGAAAGGCCGTGAGGGCTGCAGCCACAGGCAGTGCCGTAGGGGCGGGGCTGCCGGAGCCCTCCAGAGCTCGCCTGCGGTCCCCGCAGCTGGCCCTCGGTGCCGGGCTCAGAACTACAGGAAGGATTTCGTGTTTGCCGTGTGGGTGCTGTTCCTGCGTTGGTCCTATTCCTGTCTGTCCCCCTGCTCCTCCCGTTTGGAATGGGAATGCTTACCCTGTCGCGTGTGTTTTTTTAATAGGGGCTGACAGCTAAGAGTTTGAGTTAAGCCTCACAGGAGACTTTGCACTTGGACTCTTCAGCAGTGTTGGAGCTGTGAGGACTTTGACAACTCAGAAATGGACTAAATGCATTTTGCATAAAGAGATATGCCCAAGTCTTTTGGGGCCAAGGGTGGAATGTTATAGTTGGTATCTAGATGTCCTCCCACAGCCTCAGGCATCAGAAGCAGGGCTTGGGAAGGTGACTGGAGGAAGGGCTGGTAGCTGGCTAGCTGTGAGGAGGCGGGGCCTGGTCAGAAGAGGGGGCCCTGGGGTGTGGCCTGGAGGGCTTTCCTCCCTTCCCAGCCCCCAGGCGTCTGCCACTCTGCCTCCTTGGAGCAGCCGGCTGTAGACTGAAGCCTCTGCAGACTGTGAGCCAAAACAAACGCCTCCTTTAGGTCGTGGGTGTCGAGAATTTGGGTGTTCACCACAAGAAAGTGACTGGAGACGTGTAGGAAAGAAAGGTCCGAGATCTTTTCTCCAGAACATTAGATCATCAAGATAATTTGGAAAATATTGCATACCACGTACTCTTAATAACCATACTGTTCATGAGCATATTTAAGGCGCCAAAAGACCGTAAAGAGGGAAAATTTCCTGAATGTATTTGACCAGTTTTTTTTTTACATTGTTTATAATTATCAAAACCAAGATGTTTAATTATTGATCCCCTGAAATCTTAAGGTTCTCTCTGAAAGTAGACCCTTAAGGGTTAACAAACCTTCTGCAGCAGCTACTTGAGCTGACTATGTAGTGAACTGTTTCCCTGTATGAAAACTGAGTGTGTAAGGGCACCTCTGCATGGAGGTGGGCTATATCTGTTGTTGTTGTTTTGTTTTATTTTGTCTTTTTTGAGACAGGGTCTTGCTATATAGTTCAGGCTGGCTTTGAGCTCACTGAGTAGCCCAGGCTTATCTCGAACTCACAGCGATCCTCCTGCCTCAGCCTCCGGAGTGCTGGGATTACAGGCGTGCACCACCATGGGCAGGCTGTATCTGACCCAAAAAGTGCCTCCCCTGTGTTCCTGAAGTAAGCAGGCCAGACCCTGTGCGAAAGCGCTCAGAATACCCTCCCACTGCCCCAGGCGACGGATTCTTTCCTAAACTGGCCTGCAGGGGTCCTCACAGTCTGACCGCTCAGCCTCCGGGGCCCTCTTCTGTGCTGTGTGTCCGGCACGCCTCACCCTGGCACCAGCCACGCTGGCTTCCCCGTGGCCGAGCTCGTGCCACCCTGGAAGCCTGTGTCTTGCCCTTGCTCTTGCCTCCAGTATTCTAGCAACAGCTGGCAGGCGGCCGCCTTCCGTCCTCAGGGTCTCGCCGCGCCAGTTTGTTAGTGCCAGTCTCAGCCAGCCGCCCTGTCCTCCTCTGCTGTTCCCGACCTTGTTGGTTTCCTCCTGCCCGGCCACTGCAGCCTCTGTGTGAGCTGTGGGTCTGGTCTGCTCTCTGCACCACTTTTTCCTTGGTTCCAGTGAGGCGCGTAAGAGTCGCATAAAGTGCTGAATAGTGAATGAGAAGGGAAGAAATCACAGCATGCTCAGGTGCCATGTAACCCATGGCAAAGCTCGTTCAGCTGCACTTGTAATGAATGGCAGGTCTGTCAGGGCGCCATGCTCTTACCTACTCGAGGGTTCTCCCATTCCCATCAGGGCAGCATGGTAGAGCTTTTCCTTTGCCATTGCCTCTAGAGTCTGGTTTATTCTTTTTAAATCTGATAGTAGCAACTTTGGATGCTTTGAAGATACGATTCATTTATAGAAATTTTGGACATTGCACCAGGTACACACCTGTAATCCGAGCACTGGGAGGCTGAGGCAGGAGGATTGCTACAAGTTCGAGGCCAGCCTGGACTACATAGTTCAGGGGCAGCTTGAACTATAAAGCGAGACAAAAAAAATAGAAAAGGAAGAAAGGAATAAATTAATTCTGCAAATTACTCAGAACCAAGTCTGGGACCAGGGATATATCTCATTGATGGAGACCTTGCCTTCCATGTGCAAGGACCTGGGTTCCTCAATACAGCAAAAAATAAAAAAATTAAAACTACCATATCTGCTGAATTAATTTGGATGATCAAACTAGGGAAGTCTGTTAGAGAAAAGGGAAGTAATTTTAAAGTGACCACAAACAATAGGCTTTTCTCTTTAGATAGATTTTTTTTCTTTTTTTTTTGTCTTTTTGAGACAGGGTCTCACTATGCAGTTCAGGCTGGTCTTGAGCTCACTTGGTAGCCTCGAACTCACAGCGATCCTCCTGCCTCAGCCTCACAAGTGCTGGGATTGCAGGCATGCTCCACCATACTCAGTCTAGGCTTTTCTCTTTAAAACTGAGGCTAGAGCCAGATATGGTGCTGCTGAAGCAGAAAGATTGATGTGAGCTCAAGTCCAGCCTGAACTACACATAGGGAGACCCTGTCTCAAAAAAAAAAAAAAAAAAAAAAAAAACAACAAAATAACAAGCAAATAAATTCAGTGCCAGGCAGCTGATGGAGCTCAGTGACAAAGCGCTTGCCCGGCAAGCGCAAGGTCGTGAGTTCGGTTACCGGTACCAGAGAAAAAAAAAAAAAAAAAAAAAAAAATAGCTCTAAAAGCATGTTCTAAACCGGGCATGGTGGCACAGGCCTGTAGCTGGAGATGAATGGCATGTGAAGAAATCAGCTGTTCATATGTTTCACATGTTTTGTTTAAGAAATCACCTGATCTAATGTGGGTAGGATGGTGCTGAGGATTGAAGCAGCCCTCACCCATTCTAGGCAGGCACTCTACCACTGAGCTGCATCCCCCGCCCTTTCTGTTTTTGAGATAGGGGCTTGCTAAATTGCCCAGCCTGGCCTGGAACTTTGGATCTGCCTGCCTCAGCCTTCTGAGTAGTTGAAATTATAGGCATGCGACCCTGTGTCCAGCCTAAAATGGTGGTTATAGAAAAGTGATTTAATCAGAGACAAAACTTGAGTTGTATGGTGATCTTCTGGCTCCCGTGCAGCAGTGTTACCATTGTTATTAGCAGACATGATCCCTAATAGATTGGTGTCTCATCTATTAGCTTTCATGTTCCGAGAGAATTGCATTTTGCCACTAGTATTTAGCTTTCATTACAAAGTGTACTATCACTCCTCAAGACTAGACTTCAGTTTGTCCAGTCTCACTTGCCAAGGTAGGTGCTGAGGTCTTTGAGGGGGCGTCCTGAGCACCGTGTCACATGTGACGGGTTTCTCCCATGTCTTAAGACAGAACATTCTTCACGACCCGAAAGGAGAAGAGACGAGTTCGGGATGTTCGACGGTTATGATAGCTGCAGTGAGGACACGAGTAGCAGCTCCAGCTCTGAAGAGAGTGAAGAAGAAGTTGCTCCTTTACCCTCCAATCTCCCGATTATCAAAAACAATGGGCAGGTGTACACGTACCCGGACGGGAAGTCTGGCATGGGTGAGTGCTACCCGCTTGGCCTGGGGTACAGCTTTGTTTGAAGATGTGCTGACCCTGATTTCTTCTGTCGTGTCACTGCCATAAAATTTTCAAAAGCTGTCTCATTAGACAGAGCCTGAGACCTCAGATCCCCAATAGGATCACGAAGTCTGTTTAATCTCTTTATTTTTGCCTACTTCTTCCTAGAGGGAGTAGGTACGACAAAGTAAAAAGCAAAAAGCCATTGAGAAAGCAAAGACAGACATGAATTAAGTAGGTTAAAAAATCCTAGGTAAGCAAAAGTGTGACGGACCATAGAGCATATGGCTTTTTCTTCTGTGACACTTCCTCATAGGGAGTTTCTTGTTTTAATACCTCCAATGATAAGATGTCTGTGGTTTAGAAATCACTTCCTTTTTTTTAGTATCTTTGCTTACAACAATATCCTTTATATTGAAGCAGTACTGTCCTGCTTCGCTAAATTTTTGAGATGGGAATATGATTTTTATTTTGTGTCAGATATAACTATGAAAGTAAGTTTTAGGGGCCAGGGATATAGTGCAGCAGCACAAGCACCTGCCTGGCAAGCACAAGGTCCTGAGTTCGATTCCCAGTACCTAAAAAAAAAAATGAAAGTAAGTTTTTTGGGGGTTTGATTATTTTTTTGTTCTTTTTTGTTTTGGGGGGTTTTTTTGTTTCTTTGGGTTTTTTTGGTAGTGCTGAGGTTCAAACCTAAGGCCTAATGCTGAGTAGGCAGATGCTCTACCCCGCAGCTACATCTTGGGTCCTTATTTTTACTTTTTTCTTTTGAGATAGGGTCTCACTAAGTTGTCCAGTCTGGCCTTGAATTAGCGATCCTCCTGCACCAGCCTCCTGAGTAGTTGGAATCATAGATGCACACCACCATACCCCAGCTTGTCTTTTGATCATAGTGTTGCTTTGGGGGTGTTCCCTAGAGGTGGAGCAACTGTTTTTAAGTACCTGTTGGCAGTACTTAGTATTGCTTATATTACTCAATGGAAGAGTGCTTGCCTAGTGTATGGGCCCAGGGTTTGCTCTCCCCCACTCTACAGAAATAGGTAATTAACAAAATAGTGTGTTCAGAATTGTCTTTATCAAGGTGACAGTCTTTTAAGAAAATGAATAAAGCTATAGAGAATAATTCTAACTTTTTACAGTGACATCTCCCCACCCTAGTTGTAGCGTGTGGGAGGCACATGAAGTAACCGTAGCATCAGGGATTTAGTTCATCAGTGTCCTGGTGGGTCTGTTCTGGGACTGTTCCGGTTCTGTTGGGAGTATTCCAACAGAATACTGAATACAGTATTCCTGATTCGCTGTGTCTGTCCTGGTTTACCATGGAAAGTTCGACACCGTGAAAACTCCACAAATACAGAGTTGGTCAGTCTGTGGTGAGGGCAGAAGAGAGTTCAGTCTTTGCTGCTCTTTTTGAAAAACCGTGTTGTTATTCAAGCCAACAAAATTACTTTAACTTTTTTTAAAGTACTGCTGAATTTCAAGTAACTGATTGTTTTAAAAATTCTTAACATACAAGCTAAACCAGTGCAAGCAAATCTTGTGCTTCTGCAATTGTTTTCTTAAACCCAAAGATTGGGGATTTTGAATCTCTCTTTAAAACCTTTTTGTTTTTCTTTTTTTTTTTTTTTGTTTTTTGTGGGGTTTTTTTCGTATCAGGAATCGAACTCACAACCTTATGCTTGCTGGGCAGGCGCCATGATACTGAGCTATATCCCTAGCCCAAAACCTTTTCCTTTTGGTCAGATTTTTTATGATAAATTGTCATCTGTGTTTCTGCTCACATCTAGTCTTCCAGTTTTATATGCTTTTTTAAAAAATATTTATCAAGACTCACTAGGCGCAGCCATCCCTCCACGCAGATACAGCTCAGTAGGCTGCTTCTCCTAGCACAGGCAGGGCAGGGGTTCAGCACCACAGCACCTCTGTGTCTTCTGCTCCCACTGAAATTCTCCACCATCATCGACAGAGAGAGATTTTATTAATTATCTATTCTGCTCGTGCATGTTCTTGCCATGGTTTTTGCGGGGGAAGTTTTTGGTACTAGGAACTGAACTCATGGTCTTGCGCTTGCCTTGCACTGTGCCACTGAGCTACATCCCCAGCCTTGCCACAGTCTAATGATACCAGTTTGGCAATGATACCACTTGTGTGTGCTGGCATCTGCTCACATGCTGGAGACTCAGATGAACAACACACAGTGAGGTCCCTGTGCTGATGCAGCCGGCAGCCTTGTTAAGAGAAGTCTGTCTGACGCAGGGATTCTGGGCAGGGATCCCTTGGCCCTTTGGATTTGCAGCTTCTGTAGCCATGTAGCCATGAGCCCTCTTAACAGTCCACTCTGGAGCTTTTGTAAGGCCCCATGCAGTCATTTCTCACCTTAGTGACGGACCTTGCGTTCATCTCTAATCTTCCGGCCCTTCATCTTTTTTTGTCCATGACTTCCCGTGGATTTCTAAGTGCTGATTATACTGCAGGTCCCTTCTGTTTCACTGTTTGGAAGGAAGCATTAGCGCAGGTGTTTGTGGTGCTCCTTCTGACTTTATTTACCGTTTCTGAGCTTCAGTCACTTGAGTTCTTGTGAACGGAAGTCTAACTCCGCCTCGCAGGTTGCCGGCCAGTACGTAGTAGTTGTCAGGAGTTCTGCTGTCTCCCCCATTCGTTGCTTAGTAGCAGAGCACTTACCATAGACATGGAATTGATCTTGTCCTTCTTGAAAGAATCCTCATCTCACCCTTCGAATTTTTCTAAATGTTAGTTAGCTCTTTTTAAGTTTCAATCTCTGCAGTATTTTAAAGGCTTTTGCTGCAATTTATGTTAATCTTCAGTTGCGTGGCACTTCTCATCTTGTTTATAAGCCCTTCAGAACCTGGAAATTGCGATGTATGTGAAGATGTCTTGCACGTTGTAAGCATTAAGACAGTGTTAGCTGGATCTGCCGGACCTGTGTGTGTCCTCTGACCCTTTTCAATCCCTTTTGGGCCTCGGGTCAGGTCATGGGAGAACACTCCTCCTCTAACTTTTTATAGGCTTATCTATCATTTGTGTAAGAGATAGAAGAAATTTTCAAGGCCAATTTTTAAATAAAAATGTCGGGCCAGGGATGTAGCTCAGCAGCACACTGCCTGCCTGGCAAGCTCAAGGTCCTGAGTTTGATTCCCGGTACCAAAAAGTTCATACATACATACATACATACATACCTCTAGAGACATGAAGAAGTTATTAAAATGCTACATAAAATTTGATTTTATTATATGACCATAACATAGATGTTTTTACTTTGTCAATTAGCCACCTGCGAGATGTGTGGGATGGTTGGCGTGCGAGATGCCTTTTACTCTAAAACAAAGCGTTTCTGCAGTGTTTCGTGTTCACGAAGTTACTCGTCCAACTCCAAGAAGGCAAGCATTCTGGCCAGACTTCAGGTAACGGTACAGAAACCTTCTTGTTCTTTATATGTCATTCCAAGGCTGTCACCAGTACCTGTCATCTGATAGCGATTCACTGTGCTGCAGCCCTGCTCCGCTGGCCAGTTTCCTTTTTATGTCCCACATTTTTAGGAAATGTGTGAGCTGCAGAGTTTTACAAATTGAGTTAACTCTTTTAAGTGGGACAAAATATGCTATCCAAAGTAAGCTGTACATTTTACAAGTGATTTTAAAATGCTTACCTTTTCCAAATAAGTATAAACAAGTTTTTGTTTCCTTTGGAGTTAGTATCAAGGTAGACTCTTCCAACATTTGAGAGGAAATGATTTCTCTCTGGTTTTATTTTCCCATCACCTTGCTTGGTGCTTTTTCTTTTTTCTTTCTTTTTTTTTTTTTTTTGCAGTGGTGGTCGTGCTGCTGGGGACTGACCCAGGGCCTCACGCCTGCTAGGTTTGCAGCTTTGTACTTTTGAGGACAACCCATTTGATACTTTGACCACGTGTCCTTGGTTAGTCCAGTTAACCTTTTTGAAAATGTCCATAGAATTAAAAAAAAAAAAACTTAACATGTACATTTTTTTTTTAGTACCGGGAATAGAACTCAGGACCTTGCGCTTGCCAGACAGGCGCTGTGCCGCTGAGCTCTCCCCCTGGCAACGTGTACATTGATCGTGTGCAGCGGTGCCTAGAAAATGATTGCTGTCTTGACTGTTTGACTGAGTTGTTGTTATTGTACCACACAGGCATTACACAACGATTTTTGTAATCGTTTTTATTGGATGATCACGTTTTTCTTTCTCACTTACGTGATCGTCACATAGCACTAAATGGGTTGTTTAAATCCCCCACGTGAAGGAAATACATCACTTAGATGTATTTCTATATTTCAGATAGACAGTACCTAAAGATCCTGAGCAGTGGTCTGTACCCAAATGGATGGCAGTTTGTCACACTGAATTTGGCCATGATCATTTTGTCATTGATCTTTTGCGTTAGCACTAAAGGTATAAACCTCAGTCACTTGCTCTTTGAACATTAAATTATCTTCTCTTACCATGTAAATAGCAATGCTTGGCAAGCTGCATGAGTGAATAACCACTGGTTCTATCCACTGTAAGAGGAAATCAAGTCTCCACCAAGCCTATATTTTAACATTTTATGGGATAATTTTCATTAACATATTAATTTGCATATTGCTGTTTTAGTCTATACCAGCTCTGCTACCCATATTAGATGTCTGTGTTGTAGCAGAACGCAAGAAACATTTTCTCATGTTAAAATTCTTTGTATGTTTCTTCTGCTTCAATAATTTTCTAAACCCTCAATGTTTACTTAAGCAGACTGAGCAATATGCAATCATGTTAAATTTCTGTGATGAGGGTATGACAGAGAATCCTATTTACTTAACTCTTCTTGTTTCAGGGTAAGCCTCCAACAAAGAAAGCAAAAGTTCTCCAGAAACAACCTTTGGTTGCTAAACTAGCCGCTTATGCTCAGTATCAAGCTACCTTGCAAAATCAAGCAAAGACGAAAGCAGGTAATATTGTCGAATGGAAAAGAAGTGACACATTTCATACTGATTCATCTCATTTTAAGTAAAGACATTTGAATTTTGGATTCTGTGTAGGCTGTTCCTATGCCCCTAAGCACGTGGCAGGCTTCCCCATGGTGCTGTCGGGGAAGTATTCCCGAGGGGAGAGTGCCAGCTTATCTGCATTCACCTCGTCTTTTTCAGTTTAATTTTTTTTAACATACTAGTTCTCTGTGCAGTATAAGGAGGCTTGTGGACAAAGGAATTGGACATGTAGCGGACTTTAAAGTGTCCAGGAGAAGGAAGTAAGAAAGGAACATTTCTAATAGAAGATTCTTCTAGATTCTCCGCCACCCCTCAGTACTGGGGACTGAACCAGGGACAGTCTACTCCTGAGCTACATTCCCACCCCATTTGTTGTTTGTTTGTTTTAAGACAGGATCTCAGGAGTGTCAAACTTGGGATCTCCTGCATCAGCCTCCTGTGTGGCTGGGACTGCAGGCAAGTGACATCGTATCCAATTAAAATTTTCTTAATAGGAAAGTAAAGGCAAGAAAATAAATGGACTGAAAAGCAATTAAAAACCCTAGTAATGCCAGATTCAGTGACAGGTATCTGTTATCCCAGCTACTAAGGAGGCTGATGCAGGAGAATCGCTTGAGCCTGGGAGTTTGAGACCAGCCTGGGAAACATAAATACAGAGACCCCATCTCAAGAACAAAAAGTGTAGTAAAGGGATCAGGTGGCAGATGTTGGGTAGGTAACCGCTGAGGGCACAGGAAGAGCTGAGTAAGCTTTAAAATACAAAGCAGCCACATCAGTGTTGGTTACCCTGCCGACAGCAGCACATGTACCTCACCTCCCAGAGTGTGTGCTGTGTATAGAAGACCTCAGAAACTGCACTTTGCAGATACAGCTTGAGCATCCCTAATCAGAAAATGTAAAATCCAAAATACTCTGCAACTTTTGGAGCTCCAGTAAGCTCTAAGCAGTGTTTCAAAATCCAGCCAAGTGTGATGGTGCAGACCTATACAATGCTGTCTCAAAAAAAAAAAAAAAAAAAAAATCTCAAAATTTCTGCAATCTGAACCATTTCTGATCCCAGATATTTCATAGAAGGAATTCTTGACCGGTATGGTATGAGCTAAAAGCTCAAGTTATTTAGTGAAATTCTTCGTCTTTATGGAAAAAAGGAAACTTTAAAAAGGGATAAATTAATTTCATATTTTAGTAGTAACCACCTTCTCTTTTTTTTTTTTTTTTTTTTTTAGTAGCCATAGCCTTATAAAAGAAAAAGTTTGAGGAGCCTGGTATGGTGGTGCAGGCCTGTAATCCCAGCACTCAGGAGGCTGAAGCAGGAGGATAGCTGAACTACAGGCCAGCCTGTACTGGCCAGCCTGAACTACAAAGTTGAGACTATGTCTCAAAAAACCAAAAAAAGTTTGAAAATTATATCTAAATTTATTCTGTTTCAGCAGTCTCCATGGAAGGTTTCAGCTGGGGTAACTACATCAATAGCAACAGCTTTCTAGCAGCGCCCGTCACCTGTTTTAAACACGTGAGTATGGAATTCCTCACCTTATTTTAAAACGTTGAGTCATTGTTTGAATCTGAAGGTACCAGAACACCTAAGCATCTTATCCTTAAAATGAGAATGCTTCTGTTATTAATTATTATGCCTATTAATAGCTAAAAATAGCTGCTGTAATTTTACAAGTCAAATCTTCCTGTAAGGAATTGTGTTTGAGAGCTGGGGGTGTAGCTCCGAGAGAGCCCTCACCTTGCATGTGTGAGATCTTGGGTTTGGTCTTCAGCACTGAAAGGATGCAGGGAGCTGCTACTTGAAGTTATTTTCAAGCAGAGAAAAGTACTAGTCTCCTCCAGTTTTCATATTCATTTGAAGCGTATGGAATCAGCGGGGGTTTTGTATGTCAAAACAATGGTTGCATGTTGACAGTTGCACCTGACTCTACCCAAGGGTAGAAGCTGTCTGTAGTGTATGTTGCCTAAACCCCTGTGATTTGACCAGATGATTCAGAAAAGGCAGGCTCTGCGGGCTTGGTTTTTGTCTCCCAGTGTAAAATGTGAAACACAAAGGAACTATTAGTAACGCGGTATTGTGAGCCGAACAGAAAACTCCACAAGGCGCTCTCTTCAGAGGCTCTCACCTAGTTCAGAATTACAGCAGTATGCCCGATGATAGTTCTTCCCTTTTTGCTGTCTGTAATTAATTCTGCTCACTATTTCTAGCTTCATTAGAAATATATTTAATTTATATTTAAGATTTTCTCTGCTACCTTCCATGGGTAAAAAGACAAAAGAATTTAGCTCCTGGTGAAATTTTGTTTACACTAAACATCTTGTTGATGTAGGACTTGCCTCTTATAATATCGTATGAACAAAGCAGTTTGGTTTCCTTTGGGGAAATCCTGATGGAATTTACACACACCGGGTCTTGAACAAAATCTAGTGGATCAGACAGTGGTACAAATATGAATTCAAGCCTAGCTCATTTACGTTTTGGCTGTTCTTCTTGAAAGTACAAACGTTAAGCCCTAAATTGGTGGCATGTTGGTGTCTACAACAATTTAAAGAAGAATCTTACATCCTTATCTCCACGTAAAGTAGGTGATTTGTGTTGCTCTAATGTTGATAATGATGTCCTATTTGTGAAACACATTACACACACGTCACCCGTAGCTTTAAAGAAAACTACAAAGCAAATCTTTAACTGTCCTTTTGAGGGTCAGGCGTGGTGATGCATACCTGTCGTAATCCCAGCCTTGTGAGGCTCACACAGAAGGATAACCATGAGTTTGAGGCCAACCTGGACTACATAGTGAGTTCAAGGGCAGCCTGAACTACATCGTGAGACCTTGTCTCAAAAAAACACTTTTTTGGGATATTGCTTTGTGGTACTAAGAATGTGAGCATTAGAGTGAGTTCTCAGAGTAACTGTTCATCTCAAATTCCTGGAACATTTGTCTGTCTCCTTTTGAATGGCCTTCATCTCTCTCTAGATCTTCTTTTGATGTTTTAGTACCATGAACCAGGTCAAGGCATCTTATATAAGTAGTCAGGATATTTTTAAATAGCATTTGCAAGTCTCACAAGCGTATTTTGTTTCCTGACTGTATCTCTGGTTATTGGTAGAGGGGAGTGAGGGAGTGGGATTGGAGGTGGTAATCACAGAGACTTGAGCCTTACCTATAATGTTTTGACTTTTTTACAAACAATATTCGTGTACTTTGTAATTAAAACTCAGGTTTCACATTTGAATACCCTGTCATCCAGAAGAGAGCAGGTGACCTTTGGCCCACTACTTATAACATAGAGTGGTGACCCCTCCTGCTCAGAAGTGAGGGGCCTATCCATGTGGCGGCCCCGTGCGTTCCTGTCCCACCTGCCTGTCCTTTCTGCCTTCTTCTCATCAAACAGGAAAAATGGTACATTTCTGATCCCACAGTAGGTCGCAGTACAGAGAGTTTGTTCTGTTCCCTGAGTTGGCGCCTTGATCAGAACCACTCAGACCTCCTGCTGAGTCAGTGTTACCCTCCAGAGCCAGCTCTGCCTCGCTGCCATCGGTGGCGTGGGCCTGGAAAACCTGGGGGCTGGTGGGAGCAGGAGCCCCTGCCTGGCGTCCACATAATCGTCTAAGACTGGCCCCTCCTGACACTGTACAGCCAGAAGGGCCCTAACGCTAACCGTCTTGCTCTGGACTCTGTGCCTGCCTTGTCACCCACTTGAGCCCAGGTCAGAGCTCGCCTTGCTCCTAGGAGACTCTTTTTAAACATGACTTTTTAAAAGCACAGGTATGGTGGCACACCATCCTAGCACTTGGGAGGCTGAGGCAGGAGGATCACCCTGAGTTTGAGGCCAGCCTGGTCTACATAGTGAGTTCAAGGCCAGCCTGCACTACACAGCAAGACCCTGTCTCCAAAAAAGGTGTGACATGGAAGCAGAGCTGTTCTGACGAAACTGGAATTGGGGTGAAGGCAGTATCAGTCCTGCCTGCCTGCTTCTTAAACCAGCCTCTCCTAGAGTAGGGCCCCAGATGAATTAGCAGTAAAATCATGCCATGTGTGTTTACACTTTCGGGGATAGAGATTCTGCACAGTTGCATGTAAGGCTAACATCTCAGGTAATTGCTGTAAGTGGATGGTGTGGTTACTAAGTACAGCAGTAATTTTTTTTTTAATAATAACATGGAAATTGAATTCCCACTATTGCTTAATGTATCTACTTCAAAGTCTGGGTTAGGACTGCAATACACAGTAATGCCTCCGTTCAAGGATGCTTCTGAGCTGGACGTGCCGGTGCACGCATATAATCCCAGCACTTGGAAGGCTGAGGCAGGAGGATTGCCTTGAGTTTGGAGCCAACCTAGGCTACATAGTAGTAGCTGTCTCAAAAAAAGCAACGAAAAGAATGCTTCTGTTTGCCAACAATAGGGTTTGCAAACAAGCATTTGGAAAAATTTTGCTTTGTTCTTGACTCTGCATCAAGTGCTGAACAGGACCTGAGCCATCCTCCCCAGACAAACAGGAGCACAGCCATCTTCCCCAAAATCGTGGGACAGTGAAGTGCATGAAGCAAAGTATCACGTTATCTAGGAGGTGGGTTTTCAGGCCTTTTAGAATTCCCTTTTTCCTAATGAAATCTGACTCAGACCTCAGAGCATAGCCGGGGTAAGAGGAAGCTCAGTGATTGGCCTGGCAGGGAGAGCAGGACTGTCAGAGGCTTAGCCTGAGCTGGGAAACCACTGAATTCAATAATACCACTTCTCATTAATTCTGGATTATGTGGTTACAGAGCTGAGAAGCATTTTTAAAATCTTCTCGTTTCCCTAGTTCGTCTCTTTTAAATGAAAAAATTCTTGCTAGTGTTTTGAGTGGTACGTTTGTAATCTTTCACTTTGGGTTTTAACTTGCTTTTAAGTCTTTTTTTTTTCCGAGTTAAGCTTTCTGTTAAGTCCCTAAAGGCAGTATCCATATGAACTGTGGAGGGAAAGCTCCAGAATACTAATACAGTACGATCTGCCTTCTAGGGCACCATGTGTACTCATGAAATTCGGGTTACAGGGGAACTTTGGTTGACTTAATATGTATTAAGAATATTTAGCTTTGGGTCAGGGATGTAGCTCAGCGGCACAGCGTCCGCCTGGCAAATGCGAGGCCCTGAATGCAATTCCCGGTATCAAAAAAAAGAAAATAAAAGAACATTTCGCTTTAAAGCATCCTAATTTTTTTAAACTTTTTAAAGATTGTAGTCTTTAAGTTAGAGCATTCAGGGGCTGGGGATTTAGCTCAGTGGCACAGCGCCTACCTGGTAAGGGCAAGGTCGTGAGTTTGATTCCTGGTACTGGAAAAAAAAATTTAAAAAAAAGAAAAAGAGCATTCCGACTTCCTACTGTTCACCTGGTAAAAGTGACTAAAAACATTTATTTCCTAGGTATTATGCATGGGCCAGAATATGTTACTGTCAAGTGTACATGAAGCCATAAAAAAGCTAAAATTACGTTCCTCCAGTTACATAGTTGCAGAGTTAGAGGTTCTTCTCTTTGCTGTTTCAGCTGTGTACTCTCATGGTTCGCTGACGCTGTCATCACTTCCAAAATGTAATCATTTTGTGCTGTCCCTTAAAAGTAGTTACAGTTTTGTGCAGGAGCAAGTCCTTTGCATACATGAATACTATGCGTTTCAAGCTCAGGCATACCTTCTCATTTTGTTCCTGCAGATACACCTGGTGTTACACGTTACATTCTAATTTTCTCTTTTGTACAGAACCTAACTGTCAACCTTTTTAAAGGTATAAGGTTATCGTCTTTGTAACACATGTCATACATAAATTTTTAAGTTTAAGGACAAAAAAATAAAACCTCTTGTTTGTATGTATGCAGTAGCTTTATAGTAAAACTCATGCAGAGCATGGTGGTAAAAACCTGTAACCCTAGCATTAGCGAGGCTGAGGCAAGAGGAATGTAAGTTTGAGCTTAGTCCAGGCTGTATAGCAAGTTCATGGCCAGTCTGAACTACATAGTAAGACTCTGTTTAAAACAAAAAAAACTACTAAAACTATATATATATTTTATATATATATATATATGTGTATATTTTAAGTTCATCATCTCTTTGGTATATATTAGTAAAATTACTTTCTGGGGTTTGTTTGTTTTTCCTATCCTTAACTTGCACACACAGGACTCTATTGACAATTGAAAATTAATATGACCTTATGTCTTACCCAGTACCAAAAAAAATATGATGCTATCTCTTATAACTGAAGCGTATCTTCCGTGTATCATCCTAAATCACATTATTCCTTTCTAATATCTATTCAAAAGTTAAATTCTCACAGCCGGGTGTGGTGGTGCACACCTGTAATCCCAGCACTCTGGAGGCTGAGGCAGGAGGATTGTTCAAGGCCAGCCTGGGCTACAAAGTGAGCTCAAGGCCAGCCTGAACTGCATAGTGAGACCCTGCCTCAAAAAAGACAAAAAAAGTTAAATTCGCTTCTGGCCCCCTAAAGCATTGGACCCTCGTGTAATGAAAATCATGTTTTAAAGCCTGATTTTAAAAAGTGTTTTAATTTGGCAAGAAGAAAGCAAGGCTGAATCTGAATTATGGTCTGTAATTTGGGGATGTTTCTTAAAGTAGTTTTTTTCTTTCGAGATCTCCTACTGCTTAAACAATATTGGCTTAAAACAGTTTTTCTTAATCATGGGTTGTTTGAAGCCTTCCACTTAATGGTCTCTGCGTCCTGTTTGTTAACACACGCCTGTCACTTGCTCCTCCCCAACCTTCTCCTCCTCATCTTGCGCCTCCCCTGTCCTCTCCGGCACTGCCCCCTCCACACCACCGCCCTAACGTAGACACTGTGGTATCAGGTCAGAAGGTGAGTGGACTCTCTGGAGAGGGTGGGAACAGTTTTTTTCTTCGTGTTTCTGTTCTGGGCCAAATGCAGTAAGTAGTGTGTAGGAATCCAAATTTCCAGTTCGTTTTTTTTCTGCTCCCCCCAAGTAACTGGTCATTCTCTGCTAATGCACTTCAGTGACCACGTCTGTTAGTTTTAAGTTATTTTAAAGGTAGCTTTCCGTACACTTGCCGTACTGTACCGTGGGCGTAGACCCCTTCCCAGTGACCTGCCTGCAGCTTCAGGTCTGCCCTCTCGTACTCTTCCTTAACATGAAAGACTGTGTGTGGCTGTCAGAAGTTCTAGGCTGGCAGCCATGTGGAGGGAAGTCTCCGTGTGTGTCCTCTGAGCGCCCGGACGCTGTACTGGCCGGCAGGGCTGCTGGACTATCTGGGGGTGTCCTGAGTGCAGAAGAATAAGACTTGCGGCCCAGGTCTTTGGTGAGACAGGCAGGTGGAGGTTATCATACATTGGTGTTGGGGACCCCGCAGCTTTTGGATTTGGCCGTGTCCTGCAGGACCTGATGACAGCTTACCTTGCAGGGAAGGAGCGTCGCTCCCAGATAGCTCTCACGAGAGGCCCTGGAGCAGGAAGTGGTGGAGCAGATCTTCCTTGTTTGGGAGGAGCCTGAGGTGGACCTCGCGTCCTGAGTCTGGAAGGTAAATTTGTTGTTACCTGTAAATGCTGGTTCTGCTAGTTCATGCTGTGCCAATCCAGACTTGCAGAGGTGTCCCTCCTGCCAGCACGAGAAGACAGATGACTTGGATGAAGATGGCTGTCAAGCCCTGGGTCATTTAGTCTTCCACACGTACGAGTACTTGTTTTAAACAGAAGGGCAGATATACTTATGACATCACCTTATTATTTCAACACATTGAGCACGTACTGCGCTATGACTGTGCTCTTTCTTGTTGATGTTTGTGTTCTTCATTTTTTTCGTAGTGTGCACCATATGGATTGGTTTAAGAGGGCCTAGCAGAACCACAACCTTACAGGCAAGAACAAATGTCACTTTCTGCTACTTTCTCCTATACCAATCCAGACTGTAGGGACCGAAACAAGATCTCCCACCCACTGAAGTGAACATTACCTTTATTTTTTGACTATTTTGACACTTTATTCTCTTCAATAAAATGAGGCTGAAAGTTATTTTCTCCGAACAAACGTTATGGCTTTAAAAAAGTAAAAGAATTAGTGTGACAGATTGTCATACCAGCTCAAAAGGGAGTCCTGTCTGCCACACTCACCAAGCGGTGTACCACCCTGACCTGCAGCTCATCGGCATAACTGGACTCTTCCTTTTTGGATGAGAAAGAAACCCCGTTCACATATTTGGCAGTCAAGCAAAGAGGAGTGAATATCCTACATCAGTTTTATGCATTTATCTAACTGCATCCTTCTGCTCGAATTGCTCGCCTTCCCGGAAGTGAACAGCCTCGGGATCAACGTGCATTAGCTTAGTCTGTGTCACCTGTCTTCCGGCCTTGCCTCTTCTGATCCTGTCTGCTGGCAATAGGGATGGCCCTACAGTCTAGAATGATGTAGGGGGGAGGTAGCAGAACCTGAAGGGTCCAGTATTTTAATTTTACAAAGAAAAGTAATCACATGACTTTTTCCCCTAACTCATGGGTTCCTTCCCAGAATCCCACATAGCTGAGCCAGGGTGTGTCTCCAAGGAGCTGAGAGGTGCGTTCACTGCTGCCCACCCAAAGCAGCAGTCATTAATTGAGTCTTTCTCTGGTTTTTAGGCTTGTCCTAGTTCAGTCTATGTGACAGTCTCTTCCTTTCCTTTGCTGAGAGGAGAAGTGTGGGGTGTTGTTGGAGGCTACTCCTCCTGTGGGTTAGCATCTGCGAAGTATGAGGGACTTCGTGGGAAGCTCAGGGTCGAAATTCATGAGTTCTTTGTTTGCTTGTCTTGGGGCTTTGAGGCTATTTTATTTTTTTCCGATTTAATTATCAGGTCTTTAGCAACCTCAGTCACTTTATGTCCAAGGTTCTAAATTATATTTGATGAAGAGCTGATTATACAGGGCCATAAAAATGTTTAGGATTTATGTAAATTCCTGAGTCCACTCCTTTGATTATATTTAGCATTGTATAAAGTCTGTGACTTGCCTTGCAGTTTAAGGACTACAATGTGATAAAAACGGTAATTTGGAAATGTGTGTTATATTTTGGGGAAGTCCCTTTACAGCGCTCATTCTGTTGGTTTCTGAGTCCCCTCTCAATCATTTGTTGTGGAAGCTCGTGATTACCAGTTCTGACATTGTAAGTTTTCACCTTAGAATAATTCCTACACTGGGAAGTTTTTTAAATGGTTAATTGCTTAACAATTTACTATAGCGCTCATCTCCAAAAGACTGTTCAGCTACACTTTTAATTATTCACTGCTTTTCCCTCATGTCTGACTGTATTCTATGAATTCCACTTAAAATGAAAATGTGGCTAGCCAAGTCTTGTTTCTCCTGTTCATGTTGAAAACTACTTTTCTGATTGGAATTATTTTTCTTTCTGCTCTTTGGCCAGATCTTTTAAAATTAAAGAGTTAGATTAAGTGAATTTGTTCAGTACATGCTAAAAATAAATTTCTCAAATAGCATTAATTTGTGAAGTCTGTCAGGTTTGTAATTCAGCTTTTAGAAAGATTGTTGCTTAAGTCTTGTATTTAGACTGTTGGATTTTGATATCAAAATGGATCTATTTAATATATGTGAATTCTTTCTTCATTTTGAGTTTAATCCTCATATTGCTTTTTCTAAATAGAATACTGTGCAATGGGGAGAAATAACAGTTTAATACTTCCTTTATTAATTGTAATGCTTGATTCTGAATGACATGCTGTAGCTGTGTGTTAATAAGACGATAATTTAATGATTTTTGTATGACAGGCACCTATGGGGACCTGCTGGGGTGATATCTCAGAAAATGTGAGAGTAGAAGTCCCCAATACAGACTGCAGCCTACCTACCAAAGTCTTCTGGATTGCTGGGATTCTAAAACTAGCAGGTGAAAGCATGCATTATAATTTACTAAAAAATGCCAGTAATATATAAAACCTTTTGCAAAAAGGTATGTTTGTAAATTTTTCAAGTTTTACCCAAAAAAATGATACAATATGGACTAGGAGTTGGCAAAAAAATTTTCTATAAAAAAGAACAGATATTTTCAGTTGTGTAGGCTACATAGTATCTTTCATGTCTTTGCATTATAACGTGCACGCAGCCCATAGCAATGCACGCATAAATGGGCATGACTGTGTTCCAGGAGAATTGTATTTATGGGCACTGAAATGTGAATTTCATGTAAGTTTCATATCTTCTAAAGTTTTTTTTTTTTCAGCTATTCAGAAATGTAGAAACTCATTTTAGATCCTAGGCAGAAAGGAAGGGAGGGGGAGGGAAGAAGGGAGGAAGAGAAAGAAAAAGAAGGAAAGAAGGGAGGGAGGAAGAAAGGGGGAGGGAAACGGAAGGAAAAGAAAAGTAAATCAGGCAGTGGACCATAATAGTGCGTGAAAATGCCAGGCCCTCTTACATGTAGGGAAATACTTTGAAAAATAGCAAAAGCTGCAATTCTAAGAAAAGAAATGAAGTCTGTGATACTAAATGAAATACTGATGATTTTATACATCTTGGGTTCTTTCTCTTCATTTCCTCGACCTCCACTCCTCCCAGCCCTTGTGACTTTTCTTGCTTATAAAGTAAATGTGTTAGGGACCTCTTGTGTAGACAAGGAGACCTTCCTGCAGACAAACAGCAGTGTAAGGCTTGCTGTATAAGCAGGGTACCATGTGTGAGTATGGCATCCCTGCCCACTGAGCAGCATAAATGCAATGTGGTGCTGTGCGAACTGGCGGGAGGGGCCGCCCTTCATTTGATAGATTTCTGCTGCGAGAGGGCCTGCTCCTCCTGTTGTAATTGCTCACGCTCTGCACACAACAGTGCATCCTGCTCTACTGTATATTGCTGACAGACTTGTCTAAAGAGAGCCTTTTGCCTCCGTGTGTGTGTGTGTGCGCGTGTGCACATGTGCCCACAGTACTGGTGATGCTAAGCTGTGCTCTACCACAGAGCTGCATCGCCAGCCCCTCAAAACAGCGATTCCGCTTTTCTGCCCAAGCTGCATCACATCACTAACCATGTTTTTCATTGCTCTCCCACATAAGTTGTCTGCTCTAATGACGCTGGTGTGTCCTTGTGTGTGTGTGTGTGTGTTTCTGTGTTTCTCCCTCCCTCTCTCTCCCTCACTCCCTCCTTCCCTCCTTCCTTCATGCAGTTTTTGTCGTCTGTGCCTTTGATCAAGAGTGTCCACAGCTCCAGTGTTCGTCATATTACCCAGCTGTATTAACCAGTGCAATCCAGCCTTTTGCTGTAACATTTCCTTGGCTGCTTAAGCATACTTTAAATGTTTTTATTATTCTCTACACTACAAAGCAGCAACAGCATGTTTTTGTCACAGATGTTCAGTCAGTGCATTTAGATCAATGTATTTAATATCCAAGAATTATTTCTAACTTACCTCTCTGATTTTACACTTCCACTTCATCCAGTTTTATCCTACGTGGTCTTAAAGTCATCTTCCCTTAAAGGAGATAAGCTTTGTGTTAATCACAATTTAGAGTTCATGCCAATAATCCCCAAATACTGTGCTCAGGAGGTTGAGGAAGGAGGACTGTACATCTGAGCCCAGCTTGGACAATTTAGTGAGACCCTGTCTCAAAATAAAAAGGGCTGGGGATGTAGCTCAGTGCTGGAGTCCTTGCCTGCCGTATATGAGCTCCTAGATTAATCCCCAAAGCTTAAAATAAGGAAGTAAAAGTGCATTGGGAATTTGCAGTCTCAAAAATTACTCTGTAAATTACTGAATTTTGTCACTGAGTTTAATGTTACAAATTTTTATCACAGGTACTAGTACATGCTAGCTGAACTTGCCAGAAATGTAAGACTACTAGAAAATGCTAGCTGAACTTGCCAGAAATATAAGTGAAGGAATCCTTTTTTATTCCATGAAGGCCATAAATGAAACCCTGACCTGTTTAATGCAAAGTTTACTAACTTAAAATCAAACTATATATACTCAGCATTTTTTTTTCTAGACCAAAAGGCTTCCTTTTTGCCCATCATGTCGTTTTTGAGTGACTACACATGACTTTGTTTTTATTGGACTTTCTACCTAAATTTTCAAATCACATTTCCAAATAAAACAAAAACTTATATATATATTTTTAAACAGTACTTGAATGCAGGACCGCATGCATGAGGTTAACACTCTACCACTGGGCCACATCCCCAGCCCTTTTTTTTTTTTTTTTTTTTTTTTTTTTTTTTTTTAGACAGAGTCTTGCTTTTAGTTCAGGCTGGACTTGAACTTGCTGATGTAGCCCAGGTTGGCCTTGAGCTCACTGTGATCCTCCTGCCTCAGCCTGCCAAGTGCTGGGATTACAGGCGTGTGCCACCATGCCTGACACCAGCTCTTTTTACTTCGTGTTTTGAGACAGGGTCTCAGTAAATTAGGCTGGCCTCAAACTTGAAATCTCCTTCTCTAGCCTTCCAGGCAGCTGGGATTACAGGCATATTCCACCGCACTGACGGAACTGAAATTGGGAGTGGGGGCTGTGTTTTGAGACAGGGTCTCACTATGTAGTCCAGGCTGACCTCAAATTTAAGATCATTCTGCCTTGGTCTCCTGCGTACTGGGATTACAGGTATGCACTACCACTCCTGGCTTTAAATTTAGATTCTGTAAGTAGCCACATCCAAATTATCCAAAGTAACTGGCTAAATGAGGCCATTTCTTTGAAATATACTTCAACTGGATTTCTGTGACATGACAGAGTTTTATAATTTATTAAAACCTGTTGTATTTTTTAAGAATTACTTGTTACTATTGGGGATTGAACCCAGGGCACTAAGCTACATCCAAGGCATATTTTGTTCCGTTTTGTTTTGCTTTGCTTTGTTTTGTTTTGTTTTAATTTTGAGTCAGGGTATCTCTCCATTGTCCAAACGGGGCTTGAACTGGAGGTCATCCTACCTCACCTTCCCAGAGCGCTGGGGTTGTTGGTGCGCACCACCCCCGGCCAGAACTGTGTGCTCTAATAAAGCTACCCCACCCTTCTTCACTGAGAGGGCTTTTTTCCCTAAAACCTGAGATAGCATGGGTAAAATTGAAAAGCATTCAAAGGAGGAAGCCTTGAAAACAGTTGAACTAATTGCGTGGAGCAGGTGGTTCTCAAATCTTGGTCCAGACCGGTGGGAACAGCGTGCCCCAGGACTCTGCCTGTGCACAAGGCACTAGGTTCCACCCCAGCACTGTAGACAAAAGAAAAGTCACCAAGCAGCTGCTGAATCGGAGTCTCTGGAGCTGGCCCCGGTCTCTGTCTGTTGACAGACCCAGCAAGGGGTTCTGCTGCAGATGCAGCTAAGCTTGGTAAGTTGTCACTACCAGATGCTGTGTTATTTTTGTAGTTTCCTGACTATGTTGTGATCACTGTGTTGGTTGCAGGTTACAATGCCCTCTTAAGATATGAAGGATTTGAAAATGACTCTGGTCTGGACTTCTGGTGCAATATATGTGGTTCTGATATCCATCCTGTTGGGTGGTGTGCAGCCAGCGGAAAACCCCTTGTCCCTCCCAGAAGTAAGCACTTGCTTTACCCTCCCTGTGGATTTGCTGTGCGTACCCTGACGCTGCCTCGCACGTGGTCACCTCGAAGTAATAGAGAAATTAGAAGCCACTTTCGCGCCAGCAAGCCGTGTACTTGTTTTCTGTTTTTGTTACGTCTGAGAACTTTAATAGCTGGCTTGCAGAAAAATGTATTACCTTTTTATTTTAACAATGGAAGCAGTTCTTCCTTTTTCTAAAATATAACTGATTATTTCTTTTGTCTTAGCTATTCAGCATAAATATACAAACTGGAAAGCTTTTCTAGTCAAAAGACTTACTGGTGCCAAAACACTTCCTCCTGACTTCTCACAAAAGGTAAAAATGGGGTCGTAACAAAGGACTCAAAGACTTAAGAAAGAGTAACTTAGAAGATACTTAAGGAGTTGTTTTAATTTCATGAACTAGATGATGTATGTCAGTATTTTAGCAGTCAGTATTAACATTGCATCATGAGGCCAGGGGTTTAGCTCAGCGGCAGAGCGCCTGCCTGGCAAGCGCAAGGTCGTGAGTTCGATTCCCGGTACCGGGGGAGAAAAAAAATTGCATCATATACGCCATTTGTCGCGTGTTCTGAGTGGCTTTGTGTGCTTTGGTTTTAGGTCTCAGAGAGCATGCAGTATCCTTTCAAACCTTGCATGAGAGTAGAGGTGGTGGACAAGAGACATCTGTGTCGAACACGAGTGGCAGTGGTGGAAAGCGTCATCGGAGGGAGATTGAGGCTGGTGTACGAGGAGAGCGAGGACAGGACCGACGACTTCTGGTGCCATATGCATAGCCCCCTCATCCACCACATTGGTTGGTCTCGAAGCATAGGCCATCGATTCAAAAGATCCGGTAAGCACTTGTCACAAAAACGCCTATGGAAAGGGACGTAGAGGCTGAATTGCACTACTTTATTTCTCTTTGCAAGATAGCATAAACCACAAGTAGCAGCTAGGACTAGGGATGTAGCTCAGTGTAGAACATTTGCTAGCACGTCCAAGGCCCTGGGTTTGATCCCTGGCACTTTGGGGCAAAAACAGCATTGTAGTTGTTAGGGCTGCTTATTTTCACCTTAATTAGTGAAGAGCTCACACCATATTAGTACCCTAACGAATTGCTTTGTGTTCCTTCCACTTGTTCTCAATTAAAAAATAATATACTTCCATGCACAAAGGCCTGGGTTCAATCCCTAGTGCCACAATAATAATAATATATATAACAATTACAATAATGTACTTTTGGTCACAGTTACTTTCTTACTGCTTCTTATCCTGCCCATTTGCAAGATGTCAAGATAGTTTCCCCTTTCCTTTCACTTTTAAGCAAAATGGTAAGATTAATTGTAGGTTGACAGTATCAGACACATCAAAACGTGTGTCTGCAGTTGTGATTCCCAGGTTACATAAGTATGAGCATTCCGCTTGGCTGAAGTGCGTCTCACAGCGTTGTACGTGCGCGCTGAAGAGAGACTGTTAATGCGCGTGACTGGCCAGCGCGTAGGAGGCGTCCTCAGCCGTCCCTTAGAGTGTTATGTTCCTCGTGAGTGTGCAACCTTCGAGAAACGTGGTTTTGGGTCTTCTCACAAATGCTGACAGATTAGTATGTAACTTTTCCTTGTAGATATTACAAAGAAACAGGATGGACATTTTGATACACCACCACATTTATTTGCTAAGGTAAGAAGTTTTTATAAGAACCCTCATTTGTAAGTTAAGTTTGAAAGAGGGTTGTGGGTTTTTTCCTAAAATACGGAAATCACAGTTACATGTGTTCACTTAATAGGACTAAGAGCTTGTAATTTATAGGTGTCACAGATCTCTATTATAAATATTCTTAAATTCTCTGCCTCTTTGTGTGGACTCTTTATTTCCTAATGGAAGTTTGAGTTATAATATAAGGAGGAGAAGGCATCTGGTAAACCTTTTCAGTTTGGTGATGTTTTAATTACTAAGATGATAATGCTTGTAATAGTGCATGTGCTTTTATATAATTCTTCAGGTGAAAGAAGTGGACCAGAGTGGAGAATGGTTCAAGGAGGGAATGAAATTGGAGGCTATAGACCCATTAAATCTTTCTACGATATGTGTCGCGACCATTAGAAAGGTAAGGTGATGGGTTTTAAACCAGGCACGGTGGCACAAGCCTGTCCTCCCAGCGGCGGGGAGGCTGAGGCAGGAGAGCTCAGTGAGTTCGAGACCAGCCTGGGCTACATAGCGAGTTCGAGGCCAGCCTGCACTGTGTAGTAAGACTCTGTCTCAAAAATAAAAGATAATGGGTTTTCAAAACAAATAATTCCATTTGACATAGAATATGTGTGTTTCTGGATATTTCACTGAGAGATGGTTACTGGAAATTTCAGAATAAGTCTGAATTCTGTTGTCAGATCATTTGCTTGTTTGTCTGTTTGTTGAGACAGGGTCTTGCTAGTTAGTTCAGGCTGGCCTTCAATTCATGGGTATCCTCCTGCCTCAGGCTCCCCAGTGCTGGGATTACAGGCGTGCGCCACCACGCCCACCTTCAGATCTGGTTTTATGTTGCTTGCTGTCAGCCAGTCGTCTTGAGTCTGCTCCTCGTATTTGCAGTGTACGCTGAGTTAGAAGAAGAACGTTGACTTAAGTTACTTCTTGCTCAGAGCTGGTCACTACCACAGAATTAAAACAAGAGCAAGTTTATCTTCAATTTTCAGTGTTTGCTTTTTATGAATTTTCTTCCTCTTGTTAGTACTACATTTCTTCCCTCTTTTCCCTCTCATAATAAACTGTTCTTACGAAAATATCTTGGACTTAATTCCCTGTAAGCATCAAGCTCTCCTGGGGAGCTTAAAAAATGTAGATGTGAAGCAAGGCATGGTGGCGCACGCACACTTGTCATCCCAGCACTGGGGAGGCTGTGGCAGGCAGATCGCAGTGAGTTTAAGGCCTGGCCAAACTAGATAGTGAGGCCTGTCTCAAAAAGAACCACCGCCCCACAAAAGGAAGAGGGGAAAGCTACTTGTTACAGCAATGAGGGATAAAAAAATGGTGCACACAGGCCAGAGCATAAGCACAGTTGAGCTGGAGCTTGAAGAAGATAGAGAACGTTCCGAAAACTCCTGTATATGACGAAGCAAGAAGCTGGACCTGGAATCTTAGGGATTCCAGGAGGCTGAGGCAGGAGAATCGCAAAGTTTGAGCTCAGCCTGGGGAACCTAGTCAGACACTGTCTCAAAACAAAAGATAAACTGAGGATGTGGCTGGGGCGGTAGCTCAGTGGGTAAAACACTTGCCTAGCATGCACAAGGCCTAGGTTCAATCCCCAGTACCAGCAAAAAAAACCTAGACAGTAGACTGTTAAACTAGAAAAGAAAGTAGCTTTATATTAGGCAAATACGTTGTTCTTCTGGACCTCTGAAATCATTTCTGTGTAATTTTGCTTTTGTCTCTGGTATGCATTGTAGGTTACGTAGATTTTTCAGTAGAACTTCTATTGTTTAACTTACCTCTTCTATTGTTTAACTTAGCTGTTTTACTTTGAAAAGATCTTTTAGTAGTGGTGTCTAACTCCAAGTACTCAGGATTCTCTGCATTTCGAAGGTGCTGGCTGACGGATACCTGATGATTGGAATCGACGGCTCGGAAGCAGCAGATGGATCTGACTGGTTCTGCTATCACGCAACCTCCCCTTCTATTTTCCCTGTTGGTTTCTGTGAAATTAACATGATTGAACTCACTCCACCCAGAGGTACTGCATCTGGTGAAAAAACACTGGGCTCCTCGCTTTCTCTGCCCGCGCTGTCCGACTGCACTCAGCACGGCGCTCAGCGTTCTTGCTGTGTAGACACACTGTAGCGGGCGTGCACATGTGTAGATAAACACGCACACGCGTACAAGAGCTGAACTTTGCGTTACAGCATTACGTGGTCAGCAGTTTTGATCAATTACATGAGGTTTTTCATGACATCTGTGCACATTACAGTATGAATCAGTATTCCTGGGATCTTGATAACCTGTTGTACATGGGAATGGGAACATCTTTTAAATGGATACTTAGCCTTTGAAGAAAAGCTGTCTCCCTCTCTACCACATGGTGGGTGGAATGGAGGTATGTCTTTAAGAACTCTCATGGCTTAGCCAGTCGTAGTGGTGCATGCCTGTAATCCAGCACTCAGGAGGCTGAGGCAGAAAGATTGTCAGTCTGGGCTACATTGTGAGGTCAGGACCACCATGAACTACACAGCAAGAACCTGTTTCAAAAAAAAAAACATTCTCATGACTTAATTAGTGAGTTTTCTAATTTCAGTATCTGACTTGAGTTTTTGGTAAGATGGGGGGAGTAAAAACAGATTTACAAAAATAATTTTTGCTCAGCTAGTTTTCTTTCTTTAAAAAAAAAAGAAAAAGAAAAACATCTGTTTATAGTGCCAGACCGTTCTAAAGCGTAGGATTGAAAGAACAAAATTTGGGGGTTGCGGTGGAACTCAGGATAGCGCAGCCCCTGCACTGCAAAAAAAAATACAAAACAAGAGTCTTTCCTTAGGGCTGGGGATTTAGCTCAGCGGCACAGCACCTGCCTGGCAAGCATGAGGTTGTGAGCTCGATTCCCAGGACTGGAAAAAAACAAAAAAGAAAAAATAAAATAAAATAAAAAAGAGTCTCTCCTTACTGTCGCTTTTACATTGGCTGAGTGGGACACTCATGTGTCTAGAAAGGGAGGACATCTCTGTTACAGGGAGGAATCCTTGCGCTGTGGAGGGCATGACTTAGAGTTTGTCTCACTGCCTAAGATCTAAGATTACATGGGCTGAGTTGCTTTCTACCTGCATCTTAGTATTATGCCAATCTCGAATGAACTGCTACTTACACCAGTTGTTGTTCGTTTTCTAGGTTACACAAAACTTCCTTTTAAATGGTTTGACTACCTCAGGGAAACTGGCTCCATTGCAGCGCCAGTGAAACTGTTTAATAAGGTAAATCGACACACCACCCTTGTCATGAGAACACCCAGACGCGGGTCTTGTCAATGAATATCTGTTTGCCGTGTAAGATTTCCTAAGGAAGAGTAGTTTGAGTATTTATTTACAACAGCAAACTATGAGTATTTCCTCAGGAAAAGCAGCTTATTTCTAAACTTTCAATGTTAATCTGAGAGTAGAAATGAATACACTTCCTGACTAGTTCTTAAGTAGTTCTCCCTCGTAACATGCTCACATAGAGTCCCTGGAGTTGGGGTTTGAGTGCTGCCGTCTGGCCCCATCACTTTCCTCTTGGCTTCCTTAGTGAGTGTGGCCTTGTGTGTCTGCGCACTGCTCATGTTGCTCTCCTTTGTGTCAGGATGTTCCAAATCACGGATTCCGCGTCGGAATGAAACTAGAAGCGGTAGATCTCATGGAGCCACGCTTAATATGTGTAGCCACAGTGACGCGGATTATTCATCGTCTCTTGAGGATACACTTCGATGGATGGGAGGAAGAGTACGATCAGTGGGTAGACTGTGAGTCCCCTGACCTCTATCCTGTCGGGTGGTGTCAGTTAACTGGATACCAGCTGCAGCCTCCGGCATCACAGTGTAAGTTGGTGTACGGAAAAGGTGTCCTTCGGTAAAACTCAGCAATTGTAGCGTGTGGTGGTGGTGCACACCTGTAGTCCTAGCCTCGGGAGGCTGCGGCAGGGGGGTCACTGAGCGCTTGAGGCCAGCCTCCACTACATAGCAAGACACTGGCTCAGAAAAACAAAATTAGCACAAAAACAATCAGTTCCCCAGAGGATTCATCTCGGATGAGTCCTGTCAGCTCACAGGACAAGGGTGTGCCTGTGTGTGGTTCCAGATGTAAGCAATCGGCAGCAGAGTCGCAGAATCAGACCATGTGTGTCACGGTCCCCTGAACTCGGTAGTCAGTCACGGAGTGACTTAGCAAACAAGTCACCCCAAACTTAACTGTTCTAGTCGTTTAAAAGCCTAGCATGTACGCCCCCAAAAAACACAGTTCGTAGAGTATTCGTTTTGTGTCTATAAGGCCTGGGTTCAACCCAAAGAACTGCAAAAATAAAAGAGGCTGGGAATGAACCGGTCCACAGTCCGGGGAGGGCTGCTGAACAGTGGGGTCTGTGTGCTGTTGAACTGTTTCCACAGTTCTGCAGAAATGGGTACACCCTTATTTTCAGAGCATCACGTACTTTTATAAACGTAGTGGTCTTCATAAAGCTAGTTCATCTAAGCTATACTAGAACTTGCAGAAATTATCTGGGGGGCTAGGGATGTGGCTCAGTGGTAGGGCTCTTGCCTTGCATGCATAAGGCCCTCGGTTCAATCCCCAGCACCACCAACAAGAAAAATTATCGGGGGCTAATTTTTCCCTTATGTTTTTCAGCATCGAGAGAGAGCCAGTCAGCTTCATCAAAACAGAAGAAAAAGGCTAAGTCCCAGCAATACAAAGGACATAAGAAAAGTGGGTCACCGTGTGACGTTTGCACACATTTTCTAATTGTTAACCAACTGGGGCCACAGTTTTCTTGCACAGAAAGTTGCATCCCTCGCGAGAATTGATGATTGTGCAGTCTGTATTATGCTTAAAGGTGCAGTATGCCACAAAAGGCCAGCCTTCTCAGTAGCAAGAGACACTTAATTGACCAGAGAAGTGAATACCATAGTATTTAAAGCATGCATGGTCAAGAATAGAGCATACGAAGAATTCTTTAAATATTATGTGAACCTATTAAAAGTTAACCCTTTTCAGCCAGGCGTGGTGGCGCAAGCCTATAATTCCAGCACTCTAGAGGCTGAGGCAGGAGGATCATTGCGAGTTCCAAACCAGCCTGGGCTACATAATGAGCTCAAGCTCTGAACTGCATAGTGAGACCCTGTCTCAAAAAGACAAAAAATGAAAAGTTAATCCTTTTTTAACTTCCTATTTTTAAAAAAGTGTTTGCTTATTATAGACCTGTAGGTCTAATAAGCCTACCCTTCTTACAAAGTACAACTTGTATATAGTCGAAAGAAATCAAAGTCGATGACTAACAAAGCAGAAAGTTCTAAATGTGCTTTCTATGCTGTATTTCACCTTACACTGAATTCCTCTTGGCAGGAATAGCCTCAGGGTAATATGAAAAGCATTGATACCTATGTTTAATTCAAGTATTTTTCCCAGCCATACAAAGCCTCAGGTTTTTCTCTTTGTGAAGTTTGTCATGGAATATTTCACTTTAAGATAAATTTATTGAAAGTCTTTTTGTACTTGAAAAATACCTGAGGATTAATACTGAAAGACTTCTCCAGCTGATTGGCTGTGTTTTTAAATAAGTGCTGATCTGTCTCCTTGACCAAGAGACCAAAGCAGCATGAAGAATCCAGTGCATTCTCTTTTTGCCCTTCGGGGTACAGGCATTTGTTGAGGGTCTTTTAAGTGACCCGCTTATACCTTTTCAGTAGCCACTGCCGTGCACATTGCAGACGGGAGCCCTCCTGGGTGAACCCTCGCCCGCCCGCCCTGATGGACCCTGCAGCCCCGCGCTTGCCACTCATGGGCTTCCCAGGCTAAGCTTCCCAAAGCCACTTGGGGGTCAGCTCCTCACAGAAAAGAACTGGGGGAGCAATGCAGTACAGGCAGCTGTTGGGCTTCCCACTTCGTGTGAATAATTAAGAAGAAGTTACCTGGGAATTTAGTGGCCAGGTGTTAACCCTAGCAGGTGTGATCCATAAAGTCATTTATGGGCTGAGGTGGTGTGTCTTGAGGCGCATGCCTGTGATCCCAGCACTGGGGTTGGCTGAGGCAGGAAGACCACCTTGAGTTTGAGGCCAGCCTGGGCTATAAAGTGAGTTCAAGACCATCTTGAACTGCATAGCAAGGCCCTGTCTCAAAAAACAAAAAAAGAAGGAAAAGAGTTGGGATTTTCTTCCAATAAGAATGGTTTCACAAAACAAAACAAAAAAAACAACAAAAGAAAAGATATATGTAGGGCTGGGGATTTAGCCCAGTGGCACAGTGCCTGCATGGCAAGCGTGAAGTTGTGAGTTTGATTCCCGGTACCAGAAAAAAACAAACCAAAACAAAAAAAAAAGAATGGTTTCAGTGTACTCCGTGGCTTATGAAGAGTACTTCTTCCTAATTGACAGGCATGTGTTGCCCATAAGTTCACGTTTTCCTCAGTGTAACTCTTACAGGGTTTGTTTCTGGCTTGTGGGGTTTATATTATTTTGCATTATTGTTGGGGGACAAGGGAAGAAATGTGTAGTTAATGAAGTAATAATGAAAGTACCCCCGTTGTTAATAATACTTACCATTACCAGATTTCTGGATTATCCAGAAAAATGAATTCAGCTATAGATGTGACACGTGCTGAACTGTGGTGTTTTTTTTGTTTTTTCTTTTTTGGTTTTTTTCCGGTACCGGGAACCGAACTCACGACCTTGCGCTTGCCAGGCAGGCGCTTTTGCCGCTGAGCTAAATCCCCAGCCCCAAACTGTGGTGTTATGATAGCTAATACTATGGTATCTCTAGCATGTTGGCGTGGTTCTACAAACATAAAAAGGAAAAAAAATACAGGCCTATGGTCCCATTTTAGAAATCTCTGGGGCCGGATGAATGTGGGAACTGACAATTTTTTGGGTTTTTGGTTTTTTTTGGTTTTTTTGATACAGCGTCTTGCTATGTAGCCCATGCTAGCCATGAATTTGATGGTGATCCTCTTGCTGCAGCCTGCTGCATGCTGGGATTCTGTGTGCACCACCACACCTAGCTCGGGTTTCACAAAGGCAGTATAGTGGGTGTGCCATTTACTATACAGCACCTCTTGCAGACTGGAGCGTTCTCTGATGCGTAACTGTATCACAAAAACTTGCCTGGACCAAGTGCCGCTCAGGCGCGTAACCCCTGCTGCTCAGGAGGCTGAGGCAGAAAGGACTGCAAGTTGATGCCCAGCTTGGCTAACATACCAAGACCCTGTCCAAAAATAACTAGGGGGCGAGGTAAAGCATACCTAGTATGCACGAAGCTCTGGATTTGATCTCCAGCACTCAGAAAAGAAAAAAGGAGGGGAGAGGAAGTAAAGACTATAATGTACTGCCAATGAGCATGGTTTTGTTACCAGAATCTTACAGGAAAACTTTCTGAATGTTGGCATTAATGATAAGAAATGACACTGCTAGAGCCAAGCATGATGGCACACACCTGTAATCCCAGCACTCTGGGAGGCTGAGGCAGGGTGATTACAAGATCGAGCCAGTCTGAGCAGTTTAGTGGTCAGAGAGAGACCTTGTCTCAAGCTGAGTATGTAGCTCAGTGGGAAGGCCCTGGGTTCAACGCCCAGAGCTACATAAAAAAAAGGGAAAGAAATAGTGGTAGTGTATTAAGAAGCCATTTTCACTGTGAATGAACTATGTGCTCCTTAATCTTTTTTAATATTACTCAACAGTTTATTAGAAGCTTCTCCCACAAAAGTTGTTGCCCAAATAAAAAACTAGGGGTTTATCAGCGTAAGGCATCCATTGCAGGCAAGCGTATCTGGTGGCAGTAGGGCTACAGAACTTGTACGTATCTTTCCAGTTTGCTGGTAGATGATTGTGCCCTGGCTCTGTTGTTTGATCTTAGAGCTCTTTGGTGTTCCGCTATTTCAAATCTTTGACCAGTTCTTCACTAGTGCTTACTTGTTAGACAGTTGACGGGCTCCATTGTTCTAGCTTATTGGTAACAAGCTGTTCTGTATGTTGAAGAGTAGTTCTGCATAGAGGATCGTGTAGTAATTCTGGAGCAGAAAAAGCAGCATTAATTTCTGTCTTAGATTTCCCTGTTTTCAGGGCTACTATGAGCTGGAGATTTCTCCTTGCCTTTTTACCTCTGAAGTACATAGCCTGATTACAGAAAAAGCCTTGACTTCCAGAGCGTGTTACTGTCTCCTGTCTAGCTTAGGTGTGCCCTTCCGTGATGGTTTTGTGAAGCCTAGATCTGATTGCTCTTAGCTGGGTCATTGTATCCTGTGAAGGAAAATAGGCGTCATTTACGGTCACGAGGAGGGGGAAGTGTCCTTCTGCTTTCAGCCTGATGGGTGCACTTCACTTGGTGGCTCGGTATCTGCAAAATTCAGGGCGTATTTGTGGTTGGTAAAATCGTATGTGCTCTGGAATGTCCGTGTTTGCTCATGAAACTAACTGAAGGGTGCGATAAATTTGCTTCAGAAGAAATGAAGAATTTGCAGACAATAAGCAATAAACTTTGAATTTTAGAAGTGCTGTTCAGAATAAGTGGACCGTCCACTAAAGGCGGAGCCAGTGTGTCTCACGTATATTGGGAGTGTCTGCAGAGGACCCTGCCGCCCAGGTCACGCAGTAGGAACAACTTCCTGTGCTTGGTCCTCGAGGCTGGCGGTGTGGCCGCCTAGCAGTGGACGCACCCGCACCCCGCAGGGCTCCCAGGCCCCGCAGGCCGGGTGGGGAGTGTGGGACAGCCTGGCCTGCGGGAGGCCCCAGCTCTACAGAGAAAAAAGAATCCTCTCGCTCTTCCTTTGGTTTTGGTTTTTCACTCCTCTCAAGCTAAGATTTTCTTGAAAGAAATTGGCAAGATGTTCTCTGCCCTAAGTGCTTTGTTGTTCATTTTGCTTTATTCTGTTTAAGATCCATTTGGGAGTCGGGACCAGGATTATCAGACACTGAGAAAGTAGAAGCTCTCCCCATCACTCGCCCCCCTCACACACGCACACACACAGGCACACGAGCCCGCGCGCGCGCGCCCACGCCCCGTTTCCCGCAGCGTGGCCTCGTGTAGTGGGTTCCGCGGTGCCTGGTGCACCCAGCTTCCTTATTGTGCAATGCGCTTTTCCTGCCACCCGGCGAGCCGAAGCTCACTTCAGTCTGACTTGATGTTTAGAGAGGAAGATGCCAGTTGGGAAGAAGCCTGTCAGTTTGTCGAGCCTGCCCATGACAGGCGGGGTGCGGAGGAGCTTCTCTGGGGACGAAGAGTTGACTCCTCCTCCATACCGAGCCCTGCCGGCACAGACAGCCCCAGAGGCCTTCCCGCCTCCCAGCACTAGCCGAGAGTTCAGGCCCAGCCTCCAAACAGGTAACGAGTCACCCGGCACCGCAGGTACTGCACAGGGTACGGTGCTGGGCAGGGTGGCGGGAGACGGCGCGCTCTGCTGTGACAGATGCTGACTCACTCAGTTTCTGCTTTTCTTTTACCTGAATCCATCCTCACTGGTCCTTGGGAGTCATTTCACCGAGACAGATCATCAGGGCAGGAGTGTATGGAGTTCTGAGGCAGCTGGGAGGACTAGGAGTCCTAAAGTGCCTGGCGGTTCTCTGCACAGTCCTGGAGGCATCGGCCCGCTAGTGAGATCCCAGCCCGAGGGCTTAGCTCGTGGGGTCCTCGGTGTCTCCCTCATGGCAAGGATGTGGCTGCAGTTCTGCAGGAATTTCAGTTTTGGTGGTAACACTTTCCGTGATCGTAGCTGGGTAACCTAGGTGTGGAAGGGCAGTGCCGTTATAACCTTGGTGTTGAATTTGAGCGACTTGTTTCTGTGGTTTGCATACTCATGTTTATGTGTAGAGTGATAGGAACTAGGCAAATGACGTTTCATTGGTTGGGCCAGGGCAGTAGGTGATAAGGAAGAGGCAAAAGGTTTTGCCCCTTGTAGTGTTCTCAGAGGGGGTCAGAAAAGCTTCACTTTCCTATGAGGACTTGAGGCCTGCATGCAGATCGTAGGGCTGCCAAGCCAGGGCTGGGCCTGCCGGGCCTGTCCGCTGCCACACCCCAGCTGTTGGCTTTGAACTAAGGTGTGTTATCTAACCAGCTTTGGCATATTGAAGATCCAGGTGGAGGTCAGTGCCTAGCTGTTCCCTACTCTGCTGCTTGCTAATATTTTTGCACCTGCGTTACCGGCCTCTTCGTGGGAGGCCCGTTTTCGAAGGAAATGCTCTCCAGCTTTTACATCTGTCACAGTGTGTTAGGTCACACCTTGGGCCTTCCAGCTGTGTTTTTCTGAAGATCACTCTGATGTCCTTATGTCCAGAGGAAGTTGCAGTGTTTATTTTACATGAAAAACATATTGGTATAACAAAGTGACCGGCATGTTAGTGGAAAAACTTTGAAAGTCTATCTAAAGAGCATTCTAGCTTCTGGTTTCTCTGTTTAACTTTTTCATGCATGGCACTTGTGAAATAGTCATCTTTTACGTAGTGAAGTATGGGTACTGTGAGTTCTGAATGTGTTTGAAGTTTCATTGGATTTTGGCTGTGTGTATTTGGATTGAGCAGATTAATTTTGGAAGTGTGTGTCATGTTTTACGAAAGGTTCTGATTCATGTAAAACAGAACTAGTGACGTTGGCAGAACCCCAAGAACCCACATGGCCTCCCACATGACTTCTCTCGGGTGTTTGTGGGGTCCTCTGTGCGGGGTGGGACGAGGCTCGATTTCACTCTGGTGAAAGCACAGCGGGCCCACATTGCCACCTGAAGCGCCTGAACGCTTCGGTGTGGGTGGGGTAGCTGCTGAGTTTATTGTTAATGGTCTGTGTCGCCGGGGAAAGTGTCATCTCAGGTTAGTTCGTCTCCTAAAATGTTAGAGATTAGTGTCATTAGGTTGACTTCCTTTTTAGAACAGAGCTCAGAACACGCATTGTGTAGAAAGTGACATCCCACCGCAGGGTCTGCTGTAGTTCATCCCTCATTCAGTGAGAAGGGGAAAGGATTGGCGGAAACGTACCGGGCAGGCCTTACCTTACATTCCATGAAAACACCGAAACTCCACATTAAAACATTGCACATCTGAGTGAGTGTTCCACCTTTATCTTCAGTGATTTTTTTACGCACATCATTTCCATATTTTAACATGTTTAGAGGCCTCATCCAGGAATGGTTGGTTAGCAGCAAATGTACGTAGTCTCAGGATGTGCCTGAGCAACTCGGCTCCTCTCTTACAATGAAACACACCGTCTGAATGGCGCATGCTTGGCTGGAGCACAGCGATTCCCATTCATTTAAGCCATCTGATCATCATGACCAGACACAGCTCAGTGAACCTGTTACTGTGGGTACTGCACCTTTAATGAACGGGGCTGTGTTTCCATGGGTTTGTGGTAGTGGTAAAGTGTCCTTAAGGTGATGCATGCTGGCTAGATTAAAAGAACTGTTACACATTTGATACTGCTGACTATAACCGCCGTGTTACTCACTTTTTTTTTTTTTAAGAAAACTACACAGTTTTGCTTCACCTTGCAGCAGCCCGATGTGTGTTTATTTTGCTATAATCATATACAGAATGTATTCGCTTTTCTGTCCTTGCACTATGAAATTTTTCACTACCAGTGCCCAAACAGGGACCACAGTAAGTTGACATTGTCCGCTCTCAAGAGGTGATTGCAGTGTGAAAGAAGTCAGAGAGACGGTGTTTTTTTTACAGTAATCTGTAACTAAAATCAGGACGTGTGGGCTGGGGGACAGCTCAGTGGTAGAGCACTTGCCTAACATATGCAAGGCCCTAGGTTTTCTCCCTCCCACCACAGAAACGTAACAGAAAAGTCAAGAAAGGCAGCATTTTTCTGTGATTGCTGTTGGGCTTTAAAAGTTGTAACTTTAATATTACTCCCCTGCCCAGACACGTGAGTCCTAATTCCCCTCACCACTCAGTTTTTTCAGTGTGAATTTCCAGTCTGTGCTCCAGGTACAGTCTCCTCGGCGCGTCCCGGGTGCCCCGACGGATGCCCGAAGCCCGAGTCCCGAGCGCTGTGCATACGCTGCTTTGTGCATCCTCTGTTCGCACCTAGCATTTACCCCGTACACCAGGCACGCAAAGAGATTTTTTTAAAAGGGAGAAGTGGGCAAAACCAGACACGGTGGTGCATCCCAGTTCAGTCCTTAGCCTTAGGGTCAGGAGGATCAGTGAGAGTTCAAGGGCAGCCTAGGCTACACAGCCAGACCCTGCCTCAAAAAATAAAAAAAAAAGAGTAACAATAACACTTGGACCTACACTTGAGGGCAGAAAGCTGAAAGTGGGCCAGTAACCAGGACTAGAATTTATGCGTCTTCTCTAAGATTTTAAGGAACAATACGTAACAGACAGAAGTAAAAAGGCTGACCTTTTGTTTGGAGCCCAGTGCCCACAGGGCAGGGGAAGGGCAAGCCCAGGAGTGCTAACCCTGGAGACCTCAGGCTGCCCAGCAGGGTGGTGTAGCCACCAGGCCCTTCCTGTGGCCCCGTTCTGTCTAACTTTTCTGAAGTCTATGTCAAGTCTCTGGTTTCAGAATAGTCACTCACATTTTTTTTGGTCTTTTTGAGACAGGGTCTCACTATACAGTTCAAGGTGGCCTTGAGCTTACTTTGTAGCCCAGGCTGGCCTCGAACTCACAGTGATCCTCCTGCCTCAGCCTCACAAGTGCTGGTATTACAAGGCATGCGCCACCACGCCCGGCAGTCACTCATATTTTAAAAGAAAAACAGGCTGTGTTGCTCAGTGGTAGAGCGCTTTGCTGTCACACAGGAGGTGCTGGTTTCCACCTCGGGCACTGCAAAAGCACCCCCAGCCTTGGAGGCCCCAGGGCCATGCCAGGGCAGCTCGAAGTGGGGCCTTGCGCAGAAGATGCGTCCCTGGTTCTTCAGAGATTGGCAGCTTGAGGTCCTGAGTTCCATTTGCAGCTTCACCAACCTAGCTGAGGTCATTTCCATTAGAAGCAGGGCCACCTGAGGCACTGAGTGACCCACTTGTACGGAGTGACAGGTGAAGGGGGACTTACTATAGGTTCATACAGGACACAGGAAAATCTCAGTCAAATTTGGCCTAAGAGCAATTTGGAGCCCTGCAAAAAAAAAAAAAAAAAAAAAAAAAAATTTTTTCTTAAATTTTCTCAGATAAGATCTTACTATGTAGTTGAGGCAAGCCTCAAACTCAAGAGGATCTTCCTGCCTCCGCCTCCTAAATGCTGAGATTACAGGCATACACCACCCACCAGTTTAATTCCTCTTTTTTTTTTTTTTTTTTTTTTGGTCTTTTTGAGGCAGGGTTTCTCTGTACAGTTCAGGCTGGCCTAGAACTCACTTTGCGGCCCAGGCTGTCTTCCTGCCTCAGGATCCCAAGTGCTGGGATTGCGGGCGGGTGCCACCAAGTCCTGCAGCTGCTCTTTTTGTTAACCTTTGCTCACGCAGTAGAAGGAGCCCTGGCCAGCGTGACCTCGGTTTCACCGAGACACAAGCCCTTCTAAAGCAGTTCTCCGCAGAGTGAAGACCTGTTGAAACAGGACTCACTAAAGGGGAGGGCCACTTTGTGTAGCTTAGAACGGACTCATCTGATAGCTCCTGAACCAGAGTCCTGCTGGCACTGATCTCACTGGGAGAGAGCAGTTTTGGTTTTGGAGGGATGTTTTTTTCTTCGTTTGTCCGTCTTCTGCTTTGTTTGGGTTCTTCTGTGTTTCCCGACGGTACTAGGAATTGAGCTCTGGACCTTGAATATGCTAGATAAGTGCTCTGCCACTGAGCTACACCCCCGGCCCTTGCACTGGTGGTTTTCACATTTCCATCATCAGTAACTTTTTATTTGAGCAGAATAAGTACCCAAGGTTTCCATAATTTTAGTCCCCCAGTATGCGAATTTATTTACTGTCAGTTTTATTTTTATAAATTTACGTGTGTATAATTTATATTGCTGATGCTGTTTTTATATAATTTTTAAATTTTTAATAGGAGGCTCTTGCCCTTGCTTTTTCAGGGAGTCTTTAATATCTGGGCTGGCTGCAGTGCGGTAGCCGAGGGTACTTTCCTAGCACGTGTGGGGCCCTGGGTTCTCAGTCCCCACCTGTGCAGGATAAATAAAGGTGTCCTTTGGGAATAACATTGTTTTAAAGTCGTCCCTGAGCTGCTACTTACGAAGCATTATACTTGGGAAGCATGCACGAATACGTCATTATTTCTACAGACACTGACGTAAACGTAAACGCTTAATCATAAGCTTTCTCATTGTAACTTCTGCTTATCGTAGTCGCATTAGCGCCACTAGGGAGAAGTTTCTGTGACGCTGTGCAGTGCGTCCAGTGTGTCTTGCCGCCCCTTCCCAGAGGGTCCCTTCACGGTCGGTGTATTTGAAAGCTAAGGCGAGGGCTGGGGGCGCAGCTCCGTGGCAGAGCCCTTGCCTGGCATGCATGAGGCCCTGGGTTCAGCCTTCAGCACCACAAAAAGAAAAACGTGGATACCTGTCCTGCTGGGTCTTGTTTTCGTGTTTTGCAGTACTAGGGATCGATCAAACCCCGGGCCTCAGGCATTCACAGTAGCTGCCCTCGAGCTCTCTCCCAGCTTTCCAGGGTTAATTTTGAGAGTTAGAGAAGACAGGAAGAAGTCCTCCTGTGAAGCAGGTGGGGCGTGCGGACCGGAGGCAGCCGGTCGCTCCGGAGGCTTGGTAACACGCGCTGCGTCTCCCCTCTCTCCCCACAGTGAGCGCTCTGCAGCTGAAGGAGGAGCTGCTGGACGGGGAGGACTGTAACTTCCTGCAAGGAGCATCCGATCCGGAAAGCAACGGCTCTGCCAACTTCTACATCAAGCAAGAGCCCTGAGCCGGCTCCGAACCTGACGGCGGGAGGGGAGAGTTTTACACAGAACTGCTTTGTAACCGATCCGGCTGTACAGCGGGCTATTCTACTGGACATTTTGCTAAACATAGACAATTTCAGTTCCAGATTTTTCAGGTGGGTGGGGAAACTATTTTAGTCGGGGTGGGGGAAATTTTTCAATTTATAAAGATGGACAATTTTTGTGTTGTATTTGAAGCTTTTGAAAGAATTTTGTAATATTTTCCAAGTTTGGATTTATGTGTATTGTTAACAAGAACTGAAATTCTAACTTTTTGGTAAGATTAAAGTTTAGGTAGCAGGACTGAAGGAAATGATTTAAGAAGGATATAATTGTAAATGCAAACGAACTGTCATAAACATGAACCTTTTTGGTACCTGTTGGGAGACCTTTGGATTTTAGAAGTTAGGCCAGTCACATCTCCAGCTTCCTCTGCCGCACAAATATGCAACCGAGGCCCTCGCGGAGGGCCCAGCTCCACACCGACCGCGGAAGGGGCGTCGCGCTGCTCGTTCGCGTTTTATTGCAGCCCATTTTAAATGTTTGTACAGAAGTGTTTTTCATTCTGTGAAAATTTATTTGGAGTTCTAGATGAAACTGGAAGAACTCTGGATACTTTTATATGTTCTCTTTTAAGTCAAAAATGATCAAAATGATCCGAACACTAAAGTGTTAAACTGGAATGGTTGACAAGATATACAGGATCTCAATCTCCATGTTGCGGGGTTGGGAAAACGCAATATTGTCCTAAGTTTATTTTCCTTGCTTTAAAAAAAAAAAGGGCGCCCCCGAAAGGGATTCTGATCAGTTCTCGGCCACTTCCCCCTCCCGTGAGATAGTAACTGGGTATAACCACACCCCAAAACAGATGTTCAGTGTCACCAAGAGAATCAAAGTCAGTCACTCAAAGCCAAAAAACTTCCAAATGATTTCAAAATCATTCCAGCTCCACTTCTAGCTGTCCTGGATTTGTTAGGAAACTAAATTGAAGGACTTAATTTTCTTAAAATTCCATATATAGAGTATGAATTGTTTTTAATTGTCATCAGAACTGAACGGTGATAACTGATTTGGACCATGACAGACATTCCCTATTTTAAAATTCACGTGGCTTCCTTTACAAATAGGATAAGGGCAGGTTGGTGAAAGGCTCGCTCTCCGTCCTCTAGCTGCCCGCCGAGTTGTGACTGAGCGAGAGCTCTAGCGTTGACCAGTGAGGTTCATAACCAAACTCTCAGGAATTCACTCATCTATTGTAGAAGTACTTCTGGGTCGTAGCCGGCCTCCGCAGCGTGCTAACTGTGGCCATCTCCTCCGGAAATAGGCAGGGCGCACTAGAAATGAATCACAGTGATTACTCTGCAGTCCTTCAGCCTATGGAATGCTTTAAACCATGGAAGGCCCCAGGAGACCATTTTAGGTCAGATTTTTGTTTGAATTTTAAAATGCATAGAACGTTCAAAACCAGCAATTTATTTTCTAAACTATTGCTCTACTTTTGGGAATAATAGCATTGGTAATACGCACAGGTTTACCTCATTCTATGCAAGAGGGGTTAATAACATAAGGTTTTGTAGTAGCTACTGGAAGTTGTTGCTTTATAGTGTAAGAATGTATGGATTCGATTGCATGTCACCATTTCTTAACACTGACTCTTCGAGGGCAGAAACGCAGATCACATCAACGCGAGTTGATTCTCATGTGTCAAATATATGTGAATTCAGCTGTAAAGTTACTGGATATTTATCTTACACAACATTGCTGAGAGGGACCTACTGTAAATGTGACGTCCTCTCGCTTCCCAGATCGTAATGCGGAGGTTCCGACGGAGGGTGCAGCTTCTCTCTTCTCAGGCCCCGCAGGTCACACCAAGCGCGGGGTTCCAGCCGCCCAGGCGCCTTGGCTACCACCTTGGGGCTCTCGGGGGACCCCAGTGAGCCGGGAGGGCCGGGGGTCGGAGCCAGCCAGCCCTGGCCCTTAGCTCTGTGAAATGCTCCTTCGTAGCCGGGTTCATAAGCTTCCAGTGAGACCGCAGAGCCCAGCGCGGCGCCAGCGTTTTGGAGCCACCAGCTCCTGCAGCGCACCCGGCCCTGCGGGCGCGCGGGGCCTGTCTTAGCCATAACTGCCCTCCGCCCGCGGCCCGGCAGCCCTTCCTCTCCACGGTTCAAGACGTACTGCTGACCTTGAGTTTGTTTCTTGTTCCCTGTCTCCCTGTTAGGATTACTTGGGGACTTTGGTAGTTTTAAACTCTTTAACCTTTCCCTTGCTGTGTATGAGGACAAAGCTAAAGCTGTTATCAACTTCTTACTCTACGGATACTAACACGGGTTTTCAGTGTTTGTTTGTTTTATTATTAATTTTGCGTGATGTGAACACCCTTTCCCATCAATATTTGTATTATGGTGCTATATATTTGGTAATGATCCTTTAATATTGGGAAGGGATTTTAAAAATACTGTGATTAAACTGGGTTTCTTCTTTGATTTTCATATTTTAAATAAAGCCACAGTCATTTATACAAAGGATAAGCATCTGTCCCTGGGCAAATCTTTTGAGGACAGAGGTCAAAGTAAACTGCATAAGGTTTTTACATCATTTCTGTATGTATTTGATATATAGATCAGTATCTGTACAAATTTAATCTTTTATTTTCTGGTAACGTGATCACGGAGAAAGTGTTTGAGACTTTCTCGTGAAGTGTATATAACGGCGTGAAAACTTCCTTCAGAGATTTATGTTCCTTTCATTTTTACCAAATTGCAAATTTTCAGCATGGATGTGAAAAGCATTAAAATTATAACTTTGTGTACAAGATGAAAATAATTCACTAAATTCGCCCTTTTCTACACAAAATAAAACGAAAGTTAAGCTGTAGTTGAGCCGTTCTGTGCCTTCGGGCCGTGGGGGGAGGTTGGTTCTGTGGGGAGCCCGGGTGTGAGGTGAAGCTCCCCACGGGCGGGAGAAGCCAGGAGGCTCATGCGTGGTTGGTGTGGCACAGAAGGCCTGATCACAAGGTGTACGTGACGGCAGCTTCCGCCACTCTTAACAAAACGGTCCAGCTGTTTTTAAAAGGCAGACTCGAAACGATAATGCTACAAGTGCATTTTTACCACTGTGCCAATACATACGCAAAATTAACATCAAAAACTGAAAACTTCTTGTGTGCACTGGTGATTGAACCCAGGGCCTTCAAACCTAGCCATCCCCTGCCTTTTTGCTTTTAAGACAGGGTCTCGCTAAATTGCAGAGGCCGAGCTAAAATTTTCTATTCTCCTGCCTTGGCCTCTGAGAGTAATTACAGGAACAAACACACCACTACACCTGCCTTAGAATGGGAAATCTTTGCCAGGCGTGGTGGTGCACACCTGTAATCCCAGCACTCGGGAGGCTGAGGCAGGAGGATCATTGTGAGTTTGAGACCAGCCTGGGCTACAAAGTAGGCTCACGGCCAGCCTAAACTGCATAGCGAGACCCTGTCTCAAAAACAAAAAAAAAAGGTGAAACGTTTTACCAAACTTCTAGCCCAGGAAACATATTAAATACTCATCCCAGGACTGAAAAGGATGTAGGGTAGCACAAACACATGCAGACCAACCCGGCCTGGGCGCCAGGTTAATGCGCCGGACTGGTCTCCCTCCCGGTTCCGCAGCCCTTCCTTACAGAAGGAAAGCCAAACAGTGCGGCCCTGTCCCCTCGCCCCGTCCTCAGCTGGCCAGGCCCTCACCGTCTCACCCAGCCATCCGGACAGCACGAGTGTCCAGGAGCAGCTGCTGCTGGCGCAGAGGAAGCACAAGACACTTCGTCCCGGTCCCCAGGCTTTATTGGGAAACGGGCTTAGAAAACAGGACCCATCTGTCCGCCAAGTCAGCAGTCAGCGGAGTGAGGGCAAGCGGCGCCTCCACCTCTACTCATAGATCCAGTTGTGAGCGCAGGGCTTGTAGTCAACCAGCTCTTCAGGCTTAAACCACAGGCTGATCTCCTTCTCGGCGCTTTTCACGGAGTCACTGCCGTGAATGATGTTCCTGAGAAGGAGAAGTTACTAGTTACTATGCTTTAAGTGCTGGGGTCACTGCAGAGGCCGAGACAGGAGGGTCACAAGCTCAAGGCCGGCCTGGACTCCACGGAGATCCTGTCTCCAAAAAAGCAAGTGTATTTCATGGGTACAACACAGTCATGCCGGATGTTTTCAGCTAAATTACCACCTGAAGCAACAGACTAATTATATACCCCAAGGTTTTTCTGTTTTGGCTTGGTTTGATTATGGTTTTTTGAGAGGGTTTTGCTTTATAATCCTGGCTGGCTTGGAACTTACTACCTAGCCCAGCCTGGCCTCAAACTCACAGCAATCATCCTGCCTCAGCCAACCCCGGTGCTGGCATTACAGGTGTGTGCCATTACACCCAGCAGTATTTTATTTTAAAACCAACTATAATGCTGTAAGTATGCTAGGCCTAATGGTGCACATCTACTCCCAGCTACTTTGTAGTCTGAGCTATTCAGGAGGCTGAGGCAGGATGACTGCTTGAGTCCAGAAGCTTGATACCCGTCTAAGAACAAGACCCCAGGGTTTTTTTTGTTTTTTGTTTTTTTTTTTTAGACCCTAGTCTTAAAAAAAAAAATTAAAAAAAGATGTCTTAGTGCTGGGGATGAGCTCAATGGCAGAACACTTCCCCAGGTCCTGAACTCAATCCCCAGTAGTATTGAATAAAAATAGAAGGAAAAAAGGTTCAACTGCATTATGCTTCCAAGTTTCCCCCTCAAAATGTGCTTATACCCCAAGGTTGCCTATGCTGTAAAATATTCCTTCTCAAATTTTGAGAAATGAGCAAAATCCTGACTAAGATTTCTATTTCATTTCTTACAGCACTGATTTGCAGAACCCAACCATGACGTGTGCTTTTAGTTTTTCTGAGGCAGGACATTCATAAGTTGCCCAGGCTGCCCTTGAACTTGCGATGTTCCTGCCTCAGCCTCCCCAGTAGGTGGGAATACAGATGTGCACCACCATACCAGGCTTCAAATTTTAAGTAACCTCGGGAAGTAGCTATGATGACAGGATTGCCCAGTGATTATCACCACTTACAAGTCCAGGTTTTTCTAAAACTGGGATATGCCCCCCAATGACTGCTTTCTACTCCATTTAACCGGAGGTGCAAAATCATCAGCGCTCCCCGGACTCACCTGCCAACCTGGATGCAGAAGTCCCCGCGGATGGTGCCCGGCTTGGAGTCGGCAGGGTTGGTCTCACCCAGCATCACGCGGCCCGTCTTCACCACGTTCAGCCCCTCCCAGACCTGGTGGGGGAGAGAAACCGCTGCAGACGGCTGCTCAGGCCCCATAGGGACCGACACCAACTCCACCAACAGCACACATTACTCAGTGACCACTCAGTGACACTGCAGTCAGGTGACCCCAGCAGAAAAAAATTCCATTCCTGGCCAAGACAGCGCACACTGTAATCCCAGCACTTAGGAGGCCGAGGCAGAAGGACTGCCATGAGTTTGAGGCCAGCCTGGGCAACATAGTGAGCTCTAGGCCAGCGTGAAATTCATAGTGAGACCCTGCCTCAAAACAAAAAAAATGATCCCGAATGTAGGATACAGAGAAGTAGCCCCACCTTGGGTGGTGACTTTCCAATCTACCTCACACAAGAATATAGATCACCGGGCATGGTGGTACACACCTGTAATCCCAGCACTCAGGAGGCTGAGGCAGGAGGATCGCTGTGAGTTGGAGACCAGCCTGGACTACAAAGTGAGCTCAAGGCCAGCCTAACTGCATAGCTCACAAACAGGATAAACAAGGGTGAGAGGGTGGGAATTTAGCTCAGCGGCACAGCGCCTGCCTGGCGTGCGCAAGGTCGTGAGTTCGATTTCCGGTACCAGAAGAAAAAAAAAGGGGGGGGTGAGGAGATGGATGAAATAGATCGGTGGGAGGGGCTTCCCAGAAGACAGCAAGAGACAGCACACAGACAGAAGACTTCCCATTACACACTCTGTGCCTGCTCACTCCCAACAGGACATAAACACCATCCGAAAATGCTGCATCTCTACCACAGGATTAGAGAACTTTGGCTTCATTTATAAGGCTAAAAAAAAACATCTTTTTTGAGACCTCATGCAATTCAAACTGGCCTTGAACTCACTATGTACCCCAGGCTGATCCTCCTGCCTCAGCCTCCCAGAGGCCGGGATTCCAGGAATGCAACACTAGCCTAGCACACTTACACCAACTTTTACTGAGAAAAAAAAATTTTTTTAAGTGTTTTTCTACGCCTCTAGGAAACCGGGATCAAAATGCTTGTCGAACGGAATAGTTAGCCTTTCTCGTAGGCGGTAAAACTAGTCTAGCGAGGTTTACCTTAACATGTCCTTTTCCCTAGGCTCTGATCCCCCGCCCCGCCCGCAGCTCCCGGTTAACTGAATAACTAAGCCCCAGCGGGCCTCATTTGTAAGACAAACAGTTGAGCAGCGGAGGAAGCGTCTCAGCCAGGAAGCGGCCGGCGCGGGGCCGCCGCGGCCCGACCGCACTCACCATGGCGACCACGGGCCCCGAGTGCATGTACTGCACCAGGCCGGGGAAGAAGGGGCGCTCCTTCAGGTCGCTGTAGTGCTGCCGTAGGTGCTCCTCCGAGGCCTGCAAGAGGACGCGTCAGCCCCGCCCGAGACGCTGGCCCGGCTCCACCCCGCCCCGCGGTCGGGCTCGCTCGTGTCCAGCCGGCTCCCGAGGGCACCGGAACCCCGCCGAGCCGCGGCAGCGCCGCCCCGGGACGTCGCGGGCGGCCCCTGTCAAACACTTCTCGGCCAGCCGCGAACCTGTCTCCGCACGCGAGCTGGGCTGAGCCTTCCGCACTGACTTATCTAACTTCAAGAGTCGGGGGTGCAGGTCGGCGCCCCAAATTTCAAGCGGGAAACACAGCTGCTCCCGAGGCCGAAGGAGGGTCAGCGCTGCAAGGCGCCGGCGCCCGGAGCCCAGGCTAAAGCTCCGAGCTCAGCCTGCGGGCCGCCCGACCCCCGGGCCGCGGGGACCGGGACGCGCCCGCGCCCACGCACGGCCACAGGGCGCAGGGGTGGGGCGGGGCGCGGGCGCGTTACCCGCATCATCTTCATGGCCACCAGGCGGAAGCCCTTCTGCTCGAACCGCTTGATGATGTCGCCCACCAGGCCGCGCTGCACGCCGTCGGGCTTGATCGCGATGAAGGTGCGCTCGAGGTTGGCCATGGCCCTGCGGGCGCGGAGAGGCGCGGTGAGGGCGCGCGGCCGCGGGACACAGCCCCGCCGGGGAGGCCCGACCCG